GATGGAGATTGACATGCAGGCAGTTTCCTGGAAAGGGATGTCATCAAGATCTGTGGAGGAATTAGGGAAGAGAGTTTGGGGTGGGCATGGGGGTGTTGAACTGTGATGCTGTCACCACAGATGTGCTGCTAAGATCAGCCACCACCACTCCTCCCTGTCCCCTGCCACACTGGTGCATTTTAAAACTTTCCCGTAAGGGCTGCTGAGAAGGACCTTTCAGGTCCCTCCCCCAATACACACACTATGATAGCTTTTACCTTAGGAGCAAGGAACCATGTGGGGACTATGCCAACTCCCAGTATGGTCATTGTGATTGCACAATGGGGCCTGGGGAAATCCTCACTAGATCTGTGGATCTAGTGCACCCACTTTGATTTGGGGTTAGTCTAGGGCTCCAGATGCGCAGAGTGAAATATCAGCATAGACCCCACGGCCAATAGCTGCAGACTCTCAGAGTGTTTTAGGATCTCCTTTGTGCAGTGCCCAGAGTAGCTGGAGTTAACTGCCACAGAACTCTTGTTTAAAGGAGTCAAGATCCCTTTAGACCAGTGGTTCCCAACCTTCCTTCCTAATGCTGAGACCCTTTAATACAGTTCCTCATGTTGCGGTGACCCCAATCATAAAATCATTTCATTGTTATCTCACAACTGTAATTTTGCTACTGCTATGAATCGTAATGTAAATATCCGATATGTGACCCCAGGGGGTCGCAACCCACAGGTTGAGAACTGCCGCTTTAGACATTTCTGATAGTGCCGGAGCTCTTTGGGGAGTATCTGAAACCTCCTTCTGGCGAGAAAGTTTGGTGTAACTAGAGACTCCAGTCTGGAAACTAGACAATGGATTATGACTTTCGGTTGTGGTCGCTTGTCTTCAGTCCCTCTCGTTGCTCATCTGTGACTTACTTCGATTGTAAAGATTGAGAAATAGTTTTATTGGCTATTCACCTGTCCTGGCCCTGGGAATGTTGCATTCTCTTCACCCCAGAGCTCCCTGAAGGTCATGTCTTTCTGGCTTCTATTCCAACTTTGCTGCTCATGAGGGCAACTGTGCCCAGCTTGTTACCGATATGTGAGCCGAGCCATCGGGAATCAACAATGGAGGGTCTCCTCAGCTCTGTTGCTATCAGGAAAATCCACTCTGTGGCAGAAGGTCCTACACTGGCTCTCTGAATCTACTGCACTTCCTTGTCTGGCTTCCAGGACAGTCAGAAGGGTTAAAGTCATAGCATAGCCTGGCAGTGCAAATGCTGGGCATGACAGCAAAGGAAAGAACAGTTCCCTGAAGGAAATCCACGCTCAGGGATTTGACATTCTAGTTAGGTCCTTGGAGAGGGTGCTAGGATGGTTTTAAGTCCTTGGAGAAAACAATGGCTTGCACTAACTAAACTAAAAATAGCAGAATTAAACCTGGGTAGGAGGCAACTATTCATAGACTGAGACATGTTAAGATAAATATACTGTGCCAGGGTGGCACTCTGTTTATTATAGTAATAAGGGACAAAGAGAGAGGCCCCACAGCGCTGGAGTCCACGGTGCCTTCTTTAGTCAAGGAATACTTTAATGTTTTGGTTTTTGTTTGTTTGGTTTTTTTCTAATTTGATAAAATAATAAGATTTCTTTTTTTACTTTTTTTTATAAAGAAAGAAGTTAGAGAGAAAAACACCAAAATTATGCCGCTGGGATAAAAATCTCTTTAGCGTATCAGTAGCCATTCTTTCGTGAATTTCTTATTCATTTATGTCTCTCTGTATAATTCTACATCAGTTGAATAGCCTAATTGTTTTTAAACTTTTAGACCTTTCTTCCTCTTTCTTTCTTTCTTTCTTCCTTCCTTTCTTTCTTTCTTTCTTCCTTCCTTCCTTCCTTCCTTCCCTCTTTCTTTGTTGTTGTTTTTTTTGTTTTGTTTTTGAGACAAGGTCTCTCTATGTAGCCCTGGCTGGCCAGTAACTCACAGAGATCTGCCTCCCTCTACCTCTCAAGTGTTGAGATTAAAGGCTTGAGCCACCACCCCCAGCTAGACCTTTCTTTTTAAAACAATTGTAATTAACTGTGCACTTTAATCCCAGCTCTTGGGAGGCAGAGGCAGGCAGATCTTTGTGAGTTTGAGGCCATCCTGGTCTACAGAGTGAGATCCAGAATAGCCAGAGCTACGTAGTGAGACCCTATCTCAAAAAAACAAAAACAAAACCAAGCGAACACTTGTAGTATGTACAAGGCCCTAGATTTGATGCCTGTGATGTAAAGCAATCCTGTTTGCCCTCTCTTCTTCTCAGACAGCTTGCAAGCTGGGGTTTACAACATGTTCCTTGTCTATTCAGAATTTTCTCCTGCTTTTCACATATACTAGTTTTCTTTTCCTTTTCTAATTATTTTTTTCAAAAATAGGACCATATTTCAGTCTGTATCATGTTGTTTCATTCCCTTATAATATATCAGAAAATCATCCCCCAAGTTAACTGTTATAAATCAAACTAATTCTTTATAACTGGAAAACGCCCCAGGATCTCTGCAAACACGTTTCCAGTCATTGACACTTTGAATAATGATTCAATACATTGCCTAAACATACGCCCTCAAGCAGTGGTTGAATGGATTATGCTAAACCTCTACCAGGGATTGACATCAAATTTCTCAGGCTATTCTTTTATGAACCACTTTTTTCCTCTTCTTAGTGATGTCCAGAATTCAGAATCATTTTATCAGTTCTCCAAACAAAAGCCTTCTCTACTCTATTGTCAATCCTGTCTCTCTCCTTACTGCTAGTTACTGTGAAATGAAGTCCAAATTTATTAATATACTTTCAAAAATCTTCTCTATGGAAGGACTTCCTGAATTTTTCCATCCTTGATGCCTTTTACCTGAGAAATTTTCATGTGACCCTGAGTATAAAGGTCTATAAAAAGGTATACAAAGCCAGCATCTACCAAAAAATAAGACATCAAGAAATTTGTTTTAAAACAATTCTTCAATATATATAGAATATTATTATTTCATAAATATGAAAAAATTTGCAAACTAATGAGATGGGGGTGTTTGTTTACTTTTACACAAATGAGTAAATGCTGCCGGAACATTTGATACTACAGGATACAGAACATTTTCGACTTTATGTTAATCAGTATTTTAATTTTATGTAGTCAATGTTGAGAATGTTGCTTCACATAAATACTTCTTACAAAAATGGGAGAAGTATGTTAGAACCATTTTAGAAATTGTTGGTAATTCTGTCCTAACCCCAAGCCAGAATTCATGTAATGGCTTTTTGTGGAACTCAAGTCAGTGACTCAAAGAGCAAGTTTTAAAATCAAATATCCTAACACAATACAATCCATAGGTAGCACTGCTGTGTGGATGCTGAGGGGAAGGAATAAAAGACGTATTAAAACGCTTTGTTTTCAGTCACTAATCTGCCGTGTTTTTAAAGAGCAGAAAACCACGCCCACACCACAGTTCATGAAAACAGAATCTGGGATCTGAGTTGAAGTGTTTCAGGCCAACCCTGAAGTCATGTCACACCACACAGGAGAGTGCTGCCACCACCACGCTGGATTCATCTGGTGTTTGATTTTAAATTAATTTTTGGTCTTCATGCATTCAGAAACCTTTTACTGTTGCCAAGTTTTAGGAGCTCCACACTCAAGTTCCACGGCCTCAAATTAAACCCATGGTCTAAGAGGTAGAGATTCAGGAGAAGATTAACATAAGGTCCTAAACTTGTTTCTGTATAGTTACTATTCTCCTCTTTCCCTGACCACCCATGTACTAAACTTGGAAGAACGAGCAGGTTGCCCTTTTCCCAGCAGAGCCCTGTGACCTCCTGTGTTCAGCCTCAGACAGTCTATCTTAGCCTGTCATGCTGTCTGTCTTAGTTAGGGTTGTTATTGCTGTGATGAAACACCATGACCAAAAGTAACCTGCAGAGGGAAGGGGTTATTTGGCTTATATATCCTAAGTCACAGTCCAGTGAGGGAAGTCAAGGCAGGAACTCAAACTGGGGAAGAAACCTGATGCAGAGGCCATGGAGGGGAGCTGCTCACTGGCTTGCTTCCCCTGGCTGGCTCAGCCTGCTGTCTTACAGAATCCAGGACCACAAGCCTAGGGTGACCCCCACCGGCTAAGCCCTCCACCATCAATCACTAATTAAGAAAATGCCCTATAGGCTTGCCTACAGTCCCATCTTAGGAAGGCATTTTCTCAGTTGAGGTTCCCTCCTCTCAGATGACCATAGCTCATGTCAAGGTGACATAAAACTATCTGGCACATGGGGCTAGAGAGATGGCTCAGAGGTTAAGAACACTGGCTGTTCTTCCAGAGGTCCTGAGTTCAATTCCCAGCACCCACATGGTGGCTCACAACCATCTGTAATGAGATATGGCTCCCTCTTCTGGCCTGCAGGGACACATGCAGGCAGAACACTCTATACATAATAAATAAATAAATCTTGAAAAAAAAAAAACTATCTGGCACAGCTTCTATGGAGCCTTTGCTGGTAACCCCTCCCCTCCCCAAAGCTATTATCACCTCTTCTGTACTTACACAGTTCTTGAATAAAAATCTTTTATTCAGCGTATTTTAGAGAGCTGGAGAATGGTTCAGAGTTTAAGAACACCTGTTACTCTTGCAGAGGACTGGAGTTGGGTTCCAGAACTCATAGCAGGGGCTGCTCACAGCCACCTCCAACTCCAGCTAAAGGGGATCTGGGACCCTCTTCTGACCTCTGTGGGTCCATATTTATACACATAGTATAACGTTGACACACACACAGAGTGAGAGAGAGACAGAGAGACAGAGTCAGAGAAACAAAAAATAAATCCTAAAAAATAAGTACTGGCAGGAAATTTGCAAAGGAAACACAGTGTAGTTGTTGCTCACCCCCCTCCCCCGCCCCCGCAGTCCCTCCTAACGCCATCATCTTACATCATCTCCCCACATTTGTCAAAACTGAGAAGCCAGCACTGGTTGGCCATTGCTCACCGAACTCCAGGGTTTTAAGAAACAATGGCGCGTTTTTCCATCAGCATCTTCCTCGTGTTCCGGGCTCCAGTTCAGGTTACTGCATTGCCTTTGGTGGCATTGCTGATGCCCGCTGTCTGCAGTACCCTTGCTTCATCCATTTTGCCCGGGTTGTTTTTAGTTATTCCACACAGAGGGTGTATCTGATGCTTATTTTTCCATCTCAACTGGAAGCAAAGTCGAACTTTTTTCAAAATTATTTTGTTATTGTTATTGCTATTCTGTTAGTGTTTTGCTGTTACCTCAGACTGGTCTTGAACTCATGTAACCCAGGCTTGCTGAGAACTTGCAATCCTGCTGTCTCAACCTTCTGGATACCAGGTTGCTGGCATGTACCACCACATCCAGCGTAAAGAATAATTTTTAATAAAACGAGAATTTTTTTTATTTAAAAAGTATGTATTTTTATATTTCAATGAAAATATTTGCCCCAAATTAAAAAAGGAACACCTCTCCTCTTGAAAATGCCCCTGACATAGCTTGATTTTAATTTAAATATCACAGTTCTTGCAATGTTACCCAGAGGTATAACTATAAACCTGATAACCCTATTGTAAGTAACATATTCCATACATACCTACAATTCCCCAACCCCTGCTTCCTTTTTCTCTTTATATAATTATCTCCTGCAGCAAAATTGGATGGTGAGCTGTAGAAATGAATCTGCTAAGAAATCCTCCCTCTCTGAGTAAATGGTTTACAAACATAAAGTCATTTGACACTGAGTCACACTAATGTGTTCCCCAGACTGTGCAAGCATCACTGGGAATTCCAAGTGTAGCGCTGCAGAATGAGTGCAAAGCTTCTTTTACACAAAGCAAAAGTGAGGAAACAGAGCCCATCACGTCAGTACTGAAACCAACCCACTCACCAAATTAAGAAAGTAAGACAGAAAACCCATGTGCTCAACCCATGAAAACACGTCAAGCCCACAGCCATCCATGATAAACACTCAGCAAAGAGAAAAGGCACCTACAATAAGGATTCTAATGGTGAAACCTTAAAAATTATAAATCACCATTCATCTCCCCTTCTACTCAGTATTTTATAGAGTGCCAGCCAACAGGATAACGTAAGAGACCCTTCCTCCACCAAAGGCTCTAGGAGCATTCAAATGAAAGAAGTGTAGACGTGTGTGTACATTTGTAATGACTGTTTGCAAAGAGAAAGATCTTCAAATAACTACATTAAAATGATCAAATTACTAAGATATCTTAATTCCCTTTCTAGTCACTGTCTATAAAACACAATGACAAAAGCAATTTAGAGGAGAAAGAGTTTATTGTTGTTCACAATTCCAGGTTACAGTCCATCATTGTGGCGAAGTTGAGGCGATAGGAACATGGAACAGCCGGTCACACCTCCCATGAAAAGCAGAGAGAATGAAGACATGTGGCACCCAGCAGCTCGCTCCTCTCTCTCTGTACAGTCCAGGATTCAAGTCAGGGAATGTTGCTGCCCACGGTAGATTGGGTCTTCCAATGACAATTAATGTAATCAAAACAATCCCTCTACATGCCAGCTTGACTACACAATTCCACTTGAGCCTCTCTTCCCAGATGATTCCAGATTGTGTCTGGTTGACAATTTAAACACCACACAATGAGAGTAGTAAGAAAACTGATATCCCCAAATCAACTTTATTTGTAAATCTCCACAACAAAGGACTATGATATGGAATATTCAATTACCGTTTAGAAAAGAAAAGTAATGCTGTTAGAACAAGCATGATTTTAAAATATGCAATAGATTAATGGATAAAACTTTTTCAAAAGACATGAAAGAAGGCCAAACTGGGAAATCTGTGGGTCTTGATAAGAAGACTCAGAATCGTGAGTACATCCATCCTCCTCAAATTATGAACCTATACATTCAATAAACTCATGGGTGTTGAATTTTAAATTATATGCCAAAAAGCAGATCTCCCCAAGAGGCTTTTCTAGAGGCAAAGGAGTGAGGAGGCAGAGGAGCTCGTTTTGTAAGATGCTGAGGGTTAGTTGGAAGATTTGAGTAGCCTGCATTTGATCCCCAGGACCAGTGTGAAAAAGCCAGGCATGGTGCTCTGTGCTTTTAGCCTCACATTGGAGAGACAGACAGAGAACAAAACTCCAGTAAATCACAACAGCCCAGAAAGAGCCACACTATATTGGTGAGAAGCACCCCAGATTATGCTACAACAGCTAATAATAAGTCCTGAAATAGCCTTGCCCAATGCAATAAAGCCTCAATTAGTAGTCCATTTGTCTGTTATGACAACCACAAAATGCTTTCAACTACAGGCTTCTACAACAGAAACATCTCACTGTGCTAGAAACAGGAAGCCCAAGCCAAAGGACAAGCAGAGTTTTCCAAAAATCATGTCTTTCCACCACGTGCACAGGGCGGGAGGGGATGGGTGTGGTCACTCGCAGGCTTCTGAGACACTAACCCTATTCAAGAAGGCTCTGCTTTTTGACCTCTTCACTTCCCAAATCCTTCACTTCTTAATGCCAATACTTTAGGGATTAGGATTTCAACATACAGATTTGAGAAGGACACAATCCTCCACACCATGACATTTTTTTGTGTCACCTATCAATAGAAAACATAGGCTCTCCCTTGTACCTTCCATTCTGGGGGGAGGGGAGGTGTAAACTGTTTCCATTATACAACTCGATGTCTTGACATTCTTTGCTCCAGCCTCAGGAGAAGAGCCCATGCACATCCCATACATCCCAACTGGCTGAAACCCCAGGCCTCGGCATAGCCATGCAAAGTCCTGGGGATGCAACTTTTCTGCAGCCCAGGAAGAAGACATGGTTTGAGGCACGTTTTCTCTGTCAGCTGGTATGGAAACTTAACCCGTATCAATATTGACATAGATGTCTATCGAAGGTTTTGGAGATGCTTAAATGATGAAATGATGTTTGTTGTGGTGTTGAAAACCAGGTGCAAACACCGAAATGTTGCAAGGTAAAAATTTGTTTTATGCCCAGGCCACACTTGCAGTCTCCTCAAGAGTAAGAGAATGAAGCAGCCCTGACTAAAAAGTAGGGGAGCCTTTTCATAGTCAAGCTCAAGCCTGAAGAACATAGCAAGTGATTACAAAAGTGGAAATTTTTGCAGTTAGTAATTTTGTTAGTCAGTTTTTGAAACATCTTATGGTCAACCAATTCTTGGAACATGCCATGAAACAATGTATGTATGTATGTATTTATGATATGTAAATCACAAGGTTATAGAAGAAGAACAAGTCAAAAAACAAAAACCAAAAAACCAAAAAAACAAACCCAAATTGACCATTAGCTTGGGACATGATTAGAGAAAAACAGCATAGGGAAAAACATAGAATAAATCAGATTCTAACATTATGCTTAACTAGGAAAAGGGAAAAAATGGAGTCAGCTGGCCCCTAACAATGTTAAGAGGGAAAGGAAAGGAGAGAGAGGGAGAGAGGGAGAATTCCTTTGCTACACTTCCTACCAATAACTTCCAATGGCTTGAAAGATGAAATAGGAAAGACAATGGGGTGGGGGACTGAAGGTATGGTTTAAGGGAACTGGCTGCTCTTCAGAACCTGGATTTGATTCCCAGCACCCACATGGCAGCTCACAACTGTCTGTGACTCCAGTTCTCAGGATCTGACACTCTCTTCTGGCCTCCATGGTCACTGCACACAAATGTAGGCAAAACACCCATACACATAAAATAAAAATTAAAAAGAAAGACCAAAGACATAGATGACTATTATTGTGTCCCAAGGTTTGGAAAGAGCTCTTATGCACACAAAGCTTTAAGAAAATGATGGATAAAAATACATCTTCTAGAGAAGTCAGGGATGTGGCTCAGCAGCAGAGCACATGCCTAACATATGTAAGTCCCTGGGTTCAACCCCAACAGTAGAAAGAACAAAAGAAAATTAAGTGGGGGCACTAATTGAAAACTGGTAGAAGACATTTGCGTGTGAGAATCTGTTAAGGATTACTACCCAGAAAAGAAACAAATGATACTAGTTAATTTATTATAAAGATACAAAGGAATGAGTAGAAAAAAATGAGCAAATAACCTGGATAAAAATAACACATAAGTATAAAATTGGAATACTAAATAATTGGAACATAAAAAAAATATATGTAGCTGATAGGCCAGAAATTTAAAGTGAGTTAGTCAGAGAATTAAAGTTAAGATCTCTGTGCTAGGTTGACTGGAGAAGTGGAATGGCAGATGGCGTCAAGTGTTGGGAAGAGGAGACCAAAGGAACCCTTTCCCACGGCAAACACAGATGAATGAAAAAAGTGAGGACTACTTTGACATCGCCCTGTAAGATGAAAGTGAGGCGTATCTCATGAATCAGCGAGTCCACTTGTGAGGAAATTCTTGTAACACGTGCACTATGACAATAACCTTGAAAATACAACTGTAAAGTGAGAATAACATTCAGAGGAGGGCATATAATATGGCCTTTTAAAAATTTAAATTTGTGGTATGTGCAAGGCAGGCACCCTACCACTGAGCCGCACTCCTTACTTTTTCTAAAATAAAAATCAAATAAATCCAAACAGTTCCTCAAGAATCCACACAGACAGCAACCCACAGCTGTGTGTAAGAAGCACTGCCATAAAGAAAGACAAGAGATGAAAAGCCAAGGTGAAAAAATGGGATGTGGGAATGTGAGAGAGGAGGAAAAGCCCACAGGGACCTCCAAGGACGTCAGGAAAGTCTCCCTGTGTCTTTCTCTTCCTGTGTGTGGGGGTGGATGGAGTTGTGGTGGTGTTTGAGACGGGATCTCACTATGGAGCTCGGGCTGGCCTGGAACTTGCTCTGGATTACAGGGTGTATCATCACATACATGTGGATATCATGTGTCCCTCCGCGCCTGGATTTTCACTTAACATAATCTCTGTTATCAAACACAACAGAATCTCATTCTTTTTTAAAATAATTAATTTAATTTTATTTTATGTGAAATGGTGTGAGGGTGTCAGATCTCCTGGAACTGGAGTTACAGACAGTTGTGAGTTGCCATATGGGCGCTGGGAATTGAACCTGGGTCCTCTGGGAAAGCAGCCAGTGCTCTTAACCACTGAACCATCTCTCCAGCCCCAGAATCTCATTCTTTTAAAAACTGTTTGCCTTTAGATTTTTTATCTATGTGTATGAATATTTTGCCTGTGTGTGTGTATATATGTACCATGTGCACACCTGGTGCTTAAGGAGGTCAGAAGTGGGCATTTTATCTTCCAGAACTGGAGTTATGGATGGTTGTGAGATTTGTGGGTTCTGGGAACTGAACCTGAGTCCTCTGCAAGAGCAACAGGTGTTCTTAACCACTGAGCCATCTCTCCAGCCCTTGGATCTCCTTTTTAAAAGACTTATTTATGTTATTTTACGTGTATGAATGTTTTGCCTGCCCTGTAAGCATGTGAACTGTGTTCTTCTGAAGAGGTCAGAAGAAGATGTCAGTTCCCCTAGAACCAGAGTGACAGGTGGTTGTGGGCTGCCATGTGTGTGCTGAGAATCGAACCCGGTTCCTCAGCACAGCAACAAATGCTCTTAACCATGGAGCCATCTCTCCAGCCCCAAGGATCTCATTCTTTTTAATGACTGGGTATTATTCCATTGTGTGTGTCTGTGTATTTATCACATTTTCTTTATCGACTTACCCACGGATGGACACTCAGATGGTTGCCACAGCAGTGAGGAGCATTGCAACAAAAAACCGAGAACCCACGTGTCTCTCTGACATGCTAATTTTATTTCCTTATGCCCGGCAGGACTGTCAGATCATATTCCAGCTCTGTCTTTAATCTTTTGAACAAACTCTGTGCTGCTTTCCATGATGGCTCTACTGATTCACACTCCCAGTGACAGCAAACTAGAGTTCTGCGTTCTCCATGTGCAAAAATAAAAGCAGATTTATTTGTTGGCTTTTTGTCCCACACAAGTCCTTGTACACCTGCACACGCAGGAGGGAGAGGAGAGAGGCCAGTGCTCTGTGGACCTGAGAGCTGTGGTTTTGTGGTTGTTTAGCGGTACAGACTATAAGAGATGCTGTTGACCTTTGACCCCAAGTCTGCCTACATCCTAACACGCTTTACGTGTTGTTTCTGTCTTACAATAATGACCTAGAAGCTCCTTCAGTAAACGTGCACCGTTTTCACATTGTTATTTAACTCAAACCCTGTTTTCCTCCCCAGTGGCCAGGTGTTATCTGCTCTTCCTAGAACCTCTAGGCAAGTTCAAGTTCTTCAGAATCTTACTACAACCTATGAGGTAACGTCCCCTAACTTACATTTACATTAGCTTTTTTTTTTTCCCCTGTGTGCGTTGTAAACTGTGTTCCCCCTCCAGTCCATCTGTAGGTATCTAGCCGTAGCTACCACATGACCTTTTGTTTCCAGAACCAAACCTTTACCCCTGGTATCACCTCAAAGCTGTGAGCAGGTCAGCACAAACAGCTACAGTATCAGACGGTTGACAGTGTTTTGTTTGTAGAACAGTGGTTCTTAGCCAAGGAGTAGGCGTATAAGCCACAGGAAACTTTTCTTAAAATGCCCGTTCCTGGATTCCATTTCCCCGTTCCTGGATTCCATTTCCCCGGGAAGTCCTAGGTGTGGAAGACTGGCAGGCAGCAGAGAATGAATGAACCTGCGTTTGTTAGAGGTAGAGGTCAGATCAGTTTGGAGGTACAAGTGTGGAGATATAAGGGAGTGCTTGCTAAGGCTAAAGAGGCCGGAGGGAGCTGGAGGTGGTGGAGGTGCCTTCACTCAGGTGGGGATGGAGGGTGGGAGTGGGTGAGGTTGGGGATGACTCTGTGGGAAGAAGGGTCATGGTTCTCAGACTCAAAGCAGTTCCCAAGTCAGGCAGAAGTAGCTGCAAGTGCTTTGCTTTAGCAAAACCCTTGGTTGCAAGAATCCTCTGGGAAGACGGGCTCTGCATGAACACATTCACAGTGTGCTGGTGGCATGAGTAGCAGCCCTGGGCAGCATGGCCTTGGCCTGAGGTTGTCACGTGGGTGGCCATTAGGAGTCCCCTGCGCCTCTGACAGGAGCAGAACTGAGTGAGACATGTTCAAAACCCTTTTGCAAGATAAAAATGAAACATCTCCACCAGAGAAAGGTGAAAAAAATCACAAAATTTATTTCACTTTATTCTTCTCATTTATTCTTTAATTTCATTGTTCAGTTAGCTTACAAAAAAAGCTGAGTTTTGCTGTGACATTTTCAAACATACATCACAATACTGCATTCTCATTTAAACCTTAGAATCTCATTGCTTATTCTGATGCCGGGTATATGATTTTAGGCAAATTAGCTCTGATCCTTAATTGGCTCATCTTTACAAAGAAAATAATAACATCTGCCCGGTTGATATCAAAATGGTATTCTAATGAGCGAAGGAAATGAGTCTGAAAGCACTTTGGAGAAGTGCCATAAAATGAGAAAAATGTAAATATTCAGAGGCATTAGATGAAAGAAAGAGACACTAACGTGATACTAATATCAAACACATGGGATCTTTACTAAGCAAAATCAATATGTAATCAAACTTCTTTCCTAGAGAGAATTTCATTTTTCTTTTAAGCACCTGAAACACATATCCAGCTCCACAGTAGAGTCATAAGTCTATTCATCTTCTCATCAAATATTAAGCATCTGGGGTGTTCCAGGGCCTGTTTGGCAACCAGAATGCCAGTGAATGAAAAGAGCTCCCTGTCGGATGACTGTTTGTATTACTGTGTGTGGGGTGGAGACGGTGGCTGAGAGGTGTCCTTGTCACAGCCCTTTTAGAGACACAGCTTTTATGTAACTACAGATGCAAATGATATGAATAACTCAGCTTTTGATTTACTGATTTCCTCCTGGAAACTGTAGGTCGTTCTCTGGCAGCCAGTGACAGCTGAATTCATTGAAAAGAAAAAAGAAGTCCATTTTTTTGTGAACGCATCGGATGTCGACAGTGTTAAAGCCCATTTAAACGTGAGCAGAATCCCATTTAGGTAGGTAACCTTGGCTATGCCCATTCAACAATTATGACAAACACCTACTATGTGCTTGACCAAAAAATGGTATAATTGCTTCGTGGGAAAATGGAGTGAATTAAAAATGGTGGCATGGCAGTCTCTGAGAGGCTGGTGATAAGACCTAAGACCCAACTCAGTGACAATGGTTTAATCTCTTATCACTTCAATCCTTTATCTGAATTAATACTCAGTGGTCTTCAGAACCTCTCACTCCTCCTCTTTCTGTCATTACTCTATTCCTAGATCTAACAGGCACAACTGTCATTCACTGTGGGTACTCTTTGTCTCCTTGTTTCATTAAAAACCTAACACAAGAAACCTAGGGAAAGAAGGAAGGTGTATTAGTCAGGGTTCTCTAGAGCAACAGAACTGATAGCATGAATATACGTACATACATACATACATACATACATACATACATACATACATACGTATATACATAATAGTGGGCATCTTGCAAAGCATCTTATTGACTTTTATGTGCGTAGGTATTTTTCTTGAATGCGTATCTGTGCACCATGTGTGTCCCTGGTGCCCACTGAGCTAGAAGAGGGTATCAGAGACCCTAGAACTATTTGTCTCAGCTGGTCTTCAGTCTGCTTTGGAATCCTGAGAAAGCAGGCTCTAATACCAGTGAAGGAACCTCAGCATCAGGATAGATGAACTTGTCCGTGAGAGTGAGGGCAAGAAGGCAAAAAGCAAAAGCTGCCTTCTTCTGTGTCCTTTATGTAGGCTGCCACCACAAGGTGAGGCCCAGATTTAGGGTGGGTCTTCTGCCCTCAAATGATCCAGATTTAAGATGAGTCTTCCTACCCCAACTGATCCAGTTCACTAAAACTTCCTCACAGACATGCTTACTGCTTAGGTTTTTTGTTAATTCCAGATGCAGTCAAATGGACCAGCAAGGATAGCCATCCCAGGAGGGTTTGTGATCGCACATAGCCCATCGTGGCAGGGAAAGCGTGGTGGCAGGAGCCGGTCACACTCCATCCACAGTCAGGAAGCAGAGAACAATGAAAGCTGCTGTTGGCTCCCTCTCTCCTCTCCATCCAGCCCTGGCTCCCAGTCCATGGAACACTGCCACCTACATTTAAAATGGGTCTTCTCTGGCGCAACCCAATCTAGAAAATCCCTCACATGCCCAGAAACCCATCTCTTCAGTGACTCTAGAGCAGTGGTTCTCAACCTTCCTAGTGCTGCGACCCTTTAATACAGTTCCTCATGTTGTGGTGACCTCCCAACCATGAAATTATTTTTGCTGCTACTTCATAAGTGTAGTTTTGCTACTGTTAGGAATCATAATGTAAATGATATCTGATATGCAACCCCCAAAGGAGTTGCGACCCACAGGTTGAGAACTGTTGTTGCAGAGGCTGTCAAGTGGACAGTATGAACCATTACACCGTGGTAGGCTTCTGTCACTGATCCTTTCTTCTCAAAGCTAGTGAATGTTTCTGAAGATCCAGCCCTGAACTAGAAAGATGGTCTGACTTGGCAGCTTGGCCCTGCCACTTAGTCACCTCTGTGTCATTGTAGGAATTATAAATGCACGCTGGGGATAAAATGACACTGACCACAGATCGTAAGTGACTTGAAAAGACTTTTTCAAAACAGTGTATTGAGTGTTGTTTCTGTTCATAGTCCATTCCCTCTTTTAGTTTCTCTGGCTTACTTTCTCCTCTCCTGATCCACTACCTAGGAGCCAGGGTCCCCTGTTGTCCTTTTGTAGAGACCAGGGTCTTATGTGTCCTGATGGATATCCTCTGTATCATATGCTGGGAGAATTATTGATAATCTGTTAGAGGCATTTACTACCCCTTTCCAGGAACTGTGCAAGGTAGATGCTTTTCCCAGATGCAGGTGGAAAAGCGTTCAAAGGTTCATTTTATTTTTATTTTATTTTATGCGTATGTGTATTTTGCCTGCATGTATGTGTATGCTCCACCTGTGTGCAGTACCCACAGAGGCCAAAAGAGGGCACCAAAGCCCATGGACTGGAGTTAGAGATGGTTGTGAGGCACCATGTGCGTGCTGGGATCTGAAACACATTCTCTGCAGGAGCAGCCAGTGCTCCGCATTGTCTCTCCAGCCTTAGGGGAAAAAATTTTTTAGCTTACAAGGAAACTTCCCAAAGTCAGCCAGTTGAAACATGGAGGCAGAAGCCAAACTCAAAACATTCAGACATCAAAGTCTTGACTTTTAGCCATTGGCCTAAATAACAAATCTTTTATCAGTATAAGAGTTAATTCAAAATTGTTCATCCTAGCTGACAGATAATTCTGGTAAAGTACTTGGCTAGTTAGTAGAGCAAGCAAGCTAACAGTCTCAATTTTTATCTTTCCCTGTATTTTGATTTGCAAAATATTTGGTCATCTTTCATCCTGCACAACATCTGGGATACACCAGTGAAGCACAAGAAAGAAAGGCAGGCTGCTTCTCCTGTGTCCTACACTGAAAACTGAGATATTGACCTGACTGAAGCAGGTGTCCATCAACCTCTGTATTCTTGTCAGATTTCTGTTGCTGTGATAAACGCCAAGACCAAAAGCAACCTGGGGAGGAAATGGTTTATTTAATCTTACATAATTATATTCATCATTGAAGGATGTCAAGGCAAGAACTCAAGGCAGGAGTTTGAAACAGAAACCATGGGAGAGTGCTGCTTACTGGCTTACTCTCTGGCTTTTCAGCTACCTAACAGCCCTGAACCATCTGCCTAGGGATGGTGCCGCCCATAGTGGGCTGGGCCTTCCTACCTCAACCAGCAATGCAAAAAACAATGCCCCCACAGACTTGCCCACAAGTCAGTCTGGTGGAGGCAGTTCTTCAGTTGAGGCTCCCTCTGCCCAGGTGTCAAGTTGACAACCAAGATCAGCCATCATGGTTTTCCTGGAAAAACACACTGAAGAATCCCTGTCAAGACATAGAGATACTGTCGGGTGGGGGTGGCACACGCCTTTAAATCCCAGCACTTGGGAGGTAGAGCCAGGCAGATCTCCGTGAGTTCGAGGCCAGTCTGGGCTACAGAGTGAGTTCCAGGACAGGCACCAAAACCACACAGAGAAACTCTGTCTTGAGAAAAAAAAAGAAAAGAAAAAAGAAAGAAAGAAATAGAGATATTGGTAGAGGAGGGTAAGATCTGGATAGTCCTGAAGCTGTTCCTCTCACCCGTGTCCACAGGGATCGGCTAAAGAGGTTTGTGGGGTCCTCTCGTCTCCATTTACAGACGTGTCGTTTTACTTGCTAAATTAGACCTGCTGGCAACTCTCCCCCAAGCTCACATTCTGTGCCTGCTATGGGCCGTGTGGGGAGGCCAGCCCTGTGCTTGCAAACCACTCACCTTCTGCTTCGTCATCAGCGTCCTGATGGAAGATGTGGAGGCTCTAATTCAGCAGCAGACGTCCAATGACACCGTCAGCCCCCGGGCCTCCTCCTCATACTACGAACAGTATCACTCGTTAAATGAAGTAAGTCACCACGCCGTTCCCAAAAGGTCCTGTTTTCACTTAACCAGCGTTGCCATTTCAGCCACGGGGAATTATCCAAGAATCATAGCCAATCACACTTAGGTTGATTAAATGGTGGAAATTCATCCTTTTGCTGGTCTCTCCCCTGGGAAGGTCACCCCCATATCTGACCAATTGGCTCTACAACAGCATGTGTATCTAAGGCTGAGTATCTCACACTGCTGGGGCTAATCCTGAAGAAAATATTGATGCTAAGAACAGCGGAAAGTGAAGAATAGGACAGCTACATTGAAACTGCCACAAAATTACAATTAAGTTTATTCTTAGTGAATAATCACCAGATTATCTCACAGAATTAAAGTGATACATTCACTTATATTTAATACACTACAAAGGAATACATTTAATCCTTCTGGGTGGGAACCTTTAAAGCAGGATGTCTTTGACTGGGTGCCTAAAAAGACAACAGGGACCACATCTCCGACTCTGGTATTAAGAATCAATTTTATATTTCATCTCTGAAATCACCTGCTTCTTTCCAGTTGGTTAATCCAGAACCCCGTCTGCTTCCAGAGCCTGTGCGCCTGGCTGATTGATGCAGGTCTTACATGCTTACACCACCACATTATTTCTCTTTAGAGCATACACCTATCTCTTCTACTTAGGCCACTCCCCTCTAACCTCTGTCACCAGCAACGTGTGACAGACTTGATGCAGAGAGGCTGGGCAGGAGTTTAATGGGCAGAGGGGGACGCATTAACTTTTTAATTATTTTGTTCCAGAAAGTTCTATTGTCTTATCACATACCCACGAATGACTGGGAATGGCAAACAAACATACTCCATGACTGCACTCATTTGCTGGGGATTCCATAGCAGAATGACACAGACTGTACAGACATTTCTCTGTTTCATATTTCTGGAGGCAAGAAGCCCAAGATCTTGGCAGTCTTTGGTTTTTTCCCGAAGCCTCTTTCTTCGGTTTGGAGTCAGTTGTTTCCTCGTCCTCAAAAGGTGTTCTAGTTTTTTTTCTACTGCTGTGATGAACGCCATGACCAAAAGCAACTTGGAGAGGAAAGGGTTTATTTAGTTTACATGTTCTGGGTCTCAGTCCATCATGCAGGGAAGTCAGGGCAGGAGCTCAAGGCAGGAACCTGGAGGCAGGAACGGAAGCCATGGAGGAGTGCTGCTTTCTGGCTTGCTCCGTATGGCTTGCTTAGTCTGCTTTCTTATGCCACCCAGAACCACTTACCTGCCCAGGGGTGGCACTACCCCCAGTGGGCTGGACCCTCCTCTACCAGTTCATAATCAAGAAAACGCTCCCACATCCTTGCTTACAGCCAAGTTGATGGAGGCATTTCTCAATTAAGCTTCCTCTTCCCAGCTAACTCTAGCTTATGTCAAGTTGACAAAAGCCCATCCAGGACACGTGGCTTTTCTCTGTACATCCCCACATGTCTCCTTCCGTCCTGATCTCTCCTTCTTTGGAGGACACTGGTCAGACCGGATCAGTGCCTGCTTTGAACTTCAGTACAACCACATTCTATGGTACTGAGCATCAGGGCTTCAACATACTAGTTGGGGAAATATACTATATCATCACCATGATATTTCAGAAAGCATTTCAAATCTCTCCTCTCCCTACTCCAAATCCTTTCTAAGAGGCTCATGGGAGATGTGGTGATTTTACTCTTAGGAAATTCTTTTATTTCTTCCCTTCTCCTTCTACTTGTGGTAACCTGAACATGCCCTCCACTCAAGGTGGTCTACTAAGTTCATCAGTGACGCTGACTCCATACAACTCTATTGGAGGCAGTCTGCTGAACCATTAGTGCTATAGCGTTAATTAATCCATGTACTAGCTTCCTTCGACGCATTCACCCCTGGATAACTAATGTAGGAAATGGAATTCTAGTGAATTCCATTTGTTGGTTAAGTCTCTGACACTTTAGAAAATGATAGTGTTAGAACTTGGTGAACAGGCCCTTCAGGAGCACCTTTGTCCCCAGCATTGGTACAAGAACTCACACATGCTCTTGCTGTTTATGCCACCACAAGAGAACCTGAGGTAAGTGATGCTCCGGTTGCCATCAGCCAGGACTGCTGTGTGAAATCATCACGAGGAAAGCTCTCGGAGACAAAACCAAGGAGTTGAACATCATGAGTTCAGAAGGTCCAAGAGTACCTGGGAAGTTGGTCTGTATTAAGATATGACCAAGTTTGGTCCCAACTATCCCAAATCAGATGACAATTCAACACCTGCTTTAAAGGAGTTGCTAAACTCAGCCCCAGCAATTGCTTTTTCCTCCCATTGTAGTTTCCATAGAGCCTCAAATGCTGCTGGACTTCTGTGCTGGAGAGAGTCCGGAATGAAGCCACCTCTCTTGGTAGAGTTGTTTTCTTCAGCTTATCCTCATATTTGCCTTTCGTTATCACAACAATCTCACAGGTTTATGGTGGGAAACAATAATGCTGACATCTTTCCTGTGTAAAAATGGTGCCTATGTTGCCTTGGTCCTGAAAAGTGAATTTGTGCGTGTGTATGTGTGTGTGTGTGTGTGTGTGTGTGTGTGTGTGTGTGTGTGTGTGTGTGTGTGGTGTGTGTGTGTGTGTGTATGTGTGTGTGTGTGTGTGTGCACGCGCGCGCGCATGCCCATGTGCACATGCCCATGCGTGTACATGTGTTTGGAGGCCAGAGGTCGACATTTGTTATTGTCTTCAATTGCTTTCCACATTATTTTTTGAGACGTAGTCTCTGGATCCGTAGCTCGCTGACTCAGCTAGACTGGCTAGACAATGAGCTCCGAGACTCTGCCTGACTCTGTCCCTCCCAACATACTCCCCCTCTCCAGGAATAGGATTACATTCTATTGTATTGCCCAAACTTCTTACAGGTGCTGGGGATCTGAACTCGGGTCCTCAAGCTCACTCAGCAACCACCATAGCAACAGCAATCCCTAGCCCTGAAAAAAAAATTTTTTTTTAAGCCTCATAATGTTAACTCCAGGATGCCTGGTAGGAGGACCCCATACATAGAGATAGAGTCTCAATGTGATAAGCCTCTAAAAGGAACTCTTGAATGGGGCATGGTGGCTCAAAACCACAACCTCAGTACTCAGAAGGCTGAGGTGGGGAGATGATAAGTTCAAGGCCAACCTGGGTTACATAGGAGATCCTGTCTCAAAAGACAAAACAACAAAGAGCCCAAGGCCTAGCTCAATGGTAGAGTGCTTGTCTATCACGTACAAGGCCCTGCATTCAATCATCAGATCTAGAAAATGGATAAACAATAATGTCTGGGCTGGAGAGCTGGCTCAGCAGTTAAGACACTGGCTGCTCTTCCATGGGACCGGGCTTCAATTCCCAGCATCCACAGAGCGAGCGGCTCACAACTGCCTGTAACTCCACTTTCAGAGGATCCAGTGCCCTCTTCTGGCCTCCACTGGCACCCGAGTGGTGTACAGACAAACACCCATAGACACAACATAAAATTAAATAAAAGCCAATCATTTCCAAGGCCATGTTTTAAAGATTAACTCTTTGTTCTATGCTTAATAGAGCCACTTCACTTGCCCCCTAAAACTTAGATTCTTTTCAGCGGAGGAAATACTCCATCCCCAGTGTTTTCAGTTCTCCAGTTCTCCTATCTGCGAGAACGGAGAGGGATCTCCTGTCTGCAAAGAAGCTGACTACTTCCTGTGATCATCGATGTCCTGCGAACTTGTCCTGTGACTAACCTGTAGTTTCTGTCCTCATAGATCTATTCCTGGATAGATGTTGTAACCGAACGGTATCCTGACAGGCTCCAAAAAATCTACATTGGCTCATCATATGAAAAGTACCCACTTTATGTGTTAAAGGTATGTGGGGAGAGTCACTTAGAGGGATTATTAATTATGCAATGATGTTTGTTATAGCTTAGTTCTACTTTTCTTTGAGCTCTGGAAATATTTTTGTTTCAAGTGTATCTTAACTTTAATATCCAGCTACTTAGGAATAAATTACCTTTATTTTTTCTTGAGTAATGAGTTTATGAGTGGAAAACACCTCTAGAATCAGACTCCCCTGTGTTCATGCTATGTTAGACAGCTAGATAAACCACTTTCTGTGGGTTTCAGTGGCCACACGCATAAAATGATGGGAGTAATCTGGCTACTCCTCAAGTGCTTCTTCTATTTATATTACTACCTCCTCAAATCGGCTGGGAGAGATTGTGTATCTTGAGTTGTTCTTGGACAAACAGTAGCCTAGTTTTTGAAAAACCAAAATAGGAGCCGAACCACCAGCCAGGTAAACTCAGAGAGCCGGGCAATGCTGCAGGGACCGCCTTAGTCACCACAGATGTGGCTATGTACTTTCAGTTGCAGAGTCTTGTGAAAGAGAATTTGATTTTTAAAAATTAGTTACAAAAATAATTTCAGGATATGTAAATAAGGGAGAAGAGTTATAAAAATTAATGAATATTTACAGTAACCAAAGCAAGAAGAAAAGAGGATTAAATATTGTCATCTGTACCATTCTAGGAAGGCTTCTTTTCAACCTTGTGATTAACAATATCCAAAGAAAGGAGACAGTAATATGGCCTTGGCTGAGGTGTCTTCTTTGAATAACCTATGCTTAGAGAAGATCAGTGAATGTGAATTCTAGAAAAGCCATAGGCATCACGACCATGATAACACTTACTGGTTACACCTTTCCAATTCTGTAGTTCTGTTTTCTCCCACACTCTCTCCCTTAAAAAATGAAAGAAATGCTCTACAGAAATGTAACCAATAGAAAAACACATTTGCTTTTAGTGGTGCAGAATTGGTACATGATCACCTGCAGTAGGTGAGCATTTGCAGGTGCTCTAAGACAAGACTTTGAATCAGGATGTCTCAGGTTCAATCTGTCCTTCCTAGGAACTTCCAGGGCAGACTCAAGGCAGAGATGAGGCATATGGATTCCTTTAGCGAATCAGTCAGTTGATAGGTTAGTTCCACGGGAACTGTCATGCATGCCCACCTGTGACACTTTCTCGTTTTGTGTGCATCTTGCAACTGGATGTCTGGAAGCTGAATAAACACATGGGGAAAGTCATCATCCTGGTTGGTTGCATCAAGTTTTACTCTTACTTAACTGAGGAGGTGCACACAGTGTAAGTCTCTGCAGACCCACAATGTTGTCAGTGTCAAGGCAACAGGCAATTTATCCCTAAAGCTGAAGTATACAAATATGAATGAATGAAAGAGTGAGTGAATGAATGATGAAGTAAGGCAACTAACCTGGACAAGTAAGGACTTTCCTGACACTGACTAGATAGAATCACCCACATCTGTTTGATTAGATGATTTGACTATTAGTGGCCATTTTTCTTTTTCCTTTATTTAGATATTGCTATTAGGAAAGGCAACTTAGTTAGGGTTTCTATTGCTGTGATGAAACACCATGACCCAAAAGCAAGTTGGGAAGGAAAGGGTTTATTTGACTTATACTTCCATATTGCTGTTTGTCATTGAAGGAAGTCAGGGCAGGAACTCAAACAGGACAGAAACCTGGAGGCAGGAGCTGGTGTAGGGGCCATGGAGAAGTGCTGCTTACTGGCTTACTCAACCTGCTTTCTTATAGATCCCAGGACCACCAGCCCAGGGATGGTCCCACTCACAATGAGCTGGAACCTCCCCCATCAATCACTAATTAAGAAAATGCTTCACAGCTGGATCTTACAGAGGCAGTCTCTCAATCGAGGTTCCCTCTTCCAGATAACTTTAGTTTGTGTGCCAAGTTGACATAAGACTAGCCAGCACAGAAACCTTCTCAGGAGGATGTAAATGACAATATTCACTCGCTTTTCTTCTTGATTTGAATTTATAATCCTTCTCCCTTTTCTCCATATCCTGAATTTATTTTTGTAACTAATTTCAAAGAATCAAATCTATGGGGTCTGTAGAGTTGGCTCAGTGTTAAAGAGCACTGGCTGCCCTCTCAGAGGACCCAGATTTGATTCCCAGCACCCACAAAAAAATAAGGAAAATATTTTAAACCAAATAAATCATGATTGATTGTGGAAATGTTCTTGAGAATTCTTTTTCATTGATAATTTCACGTGTGCATATATTTGGTCAAAGCCACTCCTTACCCCCTCCCCTTCAATTCCTCTCTATTTCTCCTCAGTGTGTCTCTCAGTCTCTGTCTCTCTCCACACTTATGCACCCATATGTGCACGTATATAGGACCATCTCCTGGAGCATGGTAGACTTTCAGGGGCCTCAACCCTGGAGAAAACTTATTCTCCCTCCCTCAACAACCATCAGTTGCCTCCATCTATGCTAGGATTTTGGCTGGCTTGACCTCGAGAATCCATCTACAGATGTCAAAGGTTGTCACTGTGTAAAAACTGATTCTTCTTGCTCCACAGAGTTGACACCTTGTGCTAGCCCTCCACCCTGTACATCAGATCAAAGCCCCTGTCCCCAATCTAATGGGACCAGTTTACAAATCAACTGGTGATATTTCATCCTTTGGGGGTGAAGTGCAGAAATAGTAGTGTATAAAAAGTGTACTCCATGGAGAAATTTTGAGGGCTTTTATATTCCCAAAGTCTCTATCCTTCCTGCACACAACTGCCCACCAGCAAATAACACTTACCTACAGGGAGTAAAGACACACTTGTAATAATACTCTTTGCTTCTCTTTCTGTCTGCATGCCTATGTAGTGCAGGGGCAGGAGTTCTGGTTTCAATCTCTTCCCCAATTCACACATACCTCAGACCTAAGCAATCCTCCCATCATCTCACCAGCTTTTTAATTTGCTCTGAGAACTTTCAAAGTAACACAGAGAACAGTGTCTATGCAGTAAGTCCATTGAAAGGATGGAGTAAAGGAAAAGGCATGATAGGGATATACTGTTTGCGGTTGTATATTTATTTATTTGTTTATCTCTCTCTCTCTCTCTCTCTCTCTCTCTCTCTCTCTCTCTCTCTCTCTCTCTGTGTGTGTGTGTGTGTGTGTGTGTGTGTGTGTGTGTGTGTGTGTGTGTGTGTGCAGGTTTCAGGAGAGAAACAAACAGCTAAAAATGCCATATGGATCGACTGTGGAATCCATGCCAGAGAGTGGATCTCACCTGCTTTCTGCTTGTGGTTCATAGGCTACGTAAGTACTTCCCATGGGCCAGTGTTTCAATTGTGTTATGACTAAGCTGCATTTTCCCACATCATAACCTGGAATTCTTGGTTCAAGTTTTACAAGTGAAGCTTGGGAAACTGTCATGTTCACACGGAACGATAATTAAGAAACAATATTCTATTAAGTGATAAGCTTCCTAAAGTAGAAAAAATATTTGAAGAAATTATTTGTTTGGTCTTAATCATCATCATCATCACCATCATCATCATCATCATCATTTTGGTTCGTATTGTCTGGACATCTTTTGCCACATCCCACCCTTGGGAACTGAACATGAAGCACACACTTACAGATCAGATAATGCTTTTCCATGTGTCATAATAAAGAATTCTGTCCTTGAAGAAGGGATTGGCATTAAGAAAAAGCCATATACAGCTGGGCAGTGGTGGCACGCATCTTTAGTCCCAGCACTCAGGAGGCAGAGGCAGGTGGATCTCTGTGAGTTCGAGGCCAGCCTGGTCTACAGAGTGAGATCCAGTACAGGCATCAAAACTACACAGAGAAACCCTGTCTTGAAAAACCCAAAAAAAAAAAAAAGAAAAGAAAGAAAGAAAAAAAAAAAAGAAAAAGCCATATATAAGACAAAGGGTATGCCATAAAAGTGATAATTAGGAGGGCTATCAGCCTCCACAATGAATAAAAACAGTAAGATTATGCTTCAAATCCTACAAAATGGGCATATGTACCATCCATTCTGATTAATAGAAAGAGACATGTATGGAAAATTCAAAATGCATACCTTTTTGATAACACTGCTCACAAAGACTGTAACAAAAAAAGATCAGTCAGAACATTAGGACATCATTGGTTAGATCTCTCTTACCAAACAGAACACATCAAACATAAAGTTATTTCTGCCTGTACTGGGTCCTAACAAATGCAACACTCCTAACCACTGTCACCTCCTTCACACCTTCCCTTCTCCAATAAATCTGAGCTTGTTAGGAGTCTCAGGGGAGACTGTTCCCAGGAGATGTGAATAAAATGTCCACTCAACTCAGAAATCGAAGCAATCACAGACCTACTTAAGGACACCGCTCAAGAACCAGCGGGTTTAGTGGGGTTACTTCCAAGACTGTGGGTAAAGGGTTACTTCCGGGAGCAGAAAGGACATAAAGGCAGCTTTTATTACTGAAAGCCTGCCGCAGCACAACTGACAGCTCATGAAAGCCGGAACCCTAGAGCTCACTGCACAACTTCCAGGCAGCTCTACAGGTTGAAGAGCATCCCTTGTAGGTGACTTGGCTAGTCTGATCATCAGCCAGGTAGTTCATCTGATTTCTGTCTCCCCAGAGAGCCTTACTTTCTACTTGGCAAGTGAGGGACCTTGTGTGTCTGGTCAGTTTCAGGATTTTCCTGAAACTCCTGAGTTGTTTACAGCTTGAGTTGTCTTCTTCTTCTTCTTCTTCTTCTTCTTCTTCTTCTTCTTCTTCTTCTTCTTCTTCTTCTTCTTCCTCTTCTTCTTCTTCTTCTTCTTCTTCTTCTCCCTCTTCCTCCTCCCCCTCCTCCTCCTTTCCCTCCTCCTCTTTTTTCTTCTTTCTTTTTTGTTTTTTTTTTCCAAGATAGGGTTTCTCTGTGTAGCCCTGGCTGTCCTGGAACTTGCTTTGTAGCCTAGGCTGGCTTCTGCTTTCCCAAGAGCTGTGATTAAAGGTGTGCACCGCCTTTGACCGGCTGCCTGAGTCTTCTTAATAAGCCTTCTTTTAGAACTTCCTGGGTTTCAAAGAGCTTTTAAAAAAAACCATTGTCCAACAGTACTGCAGCATCCCTGAGCCTACTGAATAGTTTTCACCCACAGTTGAAATAATCTGGACCAAATGAGATTGGTTCCCACTCACCCATCCCTCACCAGTACAGTCATTTGGTTGCCTTGCACCTTACCCAAGCTGGATAGCTTTAATAAAGGGGTCATCAGCTAGTGGAGAACGAAAGTGAGAACATTTATTTTTCACCTATTTATATTATTTATTTCAGAGGAAGCTGAAAATGGCCAGAATGAAACACCAGTTCATATTGGCAGTGGTTCATTTTGGCAAAATTCCCCCAATACGTTTCCTTCTCAACACAACACCTTTTCTTCCAGCTACCCTTTACCCATTTGTTGACTCTTTATATGACTATTTTATTTATTCTATAAATATTCATAAGTCATCCCTGAGAACCTAGACTCTGGAGAGATAGGGAACAGACTATGGCTTGAGGATTTTACCATCAAATATTTTATCTTAGTGGTACTCAGTAGATACTTTTTTACTCAAGTCAATAATCTTGTCAGTAATTCCCACTGAGTGAGTGAGCATTCAAGCCTCATCTGCCTACAACTAACGCAGGCTACTGACTCTTAAAATATTTCAAACCACTGCTGGAGGAAAAGTCAATCCAAATACTTTCAAATAGTTTGAATGGGGTTGGGACTGTAACTCGGTGGTTAATTATTCCAATGGCCCTAGGTTCAAAATATGATTTGCATGGGTGGATTCTACCTTTAAAAGTTACCTGAGTCAAAGGTGAATTGAAACCTTAGCTCAATTTACTTTTACTCCCTCCTAGATCTCAATAAGTATTGGAAAACCCATATAGTCCACCCTCAATGATGGTATTAATTCACTTTGAGAAGCCCAGAGTTGGTCATGCCCCTCTCTCTGTTTCTCACTAATTCTTAGGGGCCAACCTAGATCCCTTCTATTTCTGCAAAAGCAGAAGCTGACACTGGTGTGTCCGTACCTACATCACCACAGCCGAGCCCCAGCTCATGGTCTGGTCATCATAGTAGCCCAGTAAATACCCACTGAGCACCACACCTCACTCATCACTTTCTCCAACAACTCACTCTTCGACCTGCAACTTTACCCTGGAAAACTCTCCCCTAATTGCCCACAAAATTGGCCCTTCCATCCTCATCATTTTCCTGCTTCTTCTCACCTGATCTGATCTGATCTGATGTATGCCTTGATAGGAACAGTGCCTCCTGGGAGCTCCATCCAGCACCTCACCATGTGCCAAAGAGGCCTGGAGGACTGCATTAATAGTTTGCATCCTGATACCACTCATCTCTTTCTGTGTCTTCCTCAGATTTCATAATATGGTTTCACTCTCCCATCTTTTCTGCTTCTTTTCATCCACTGGCCTCCAGATCAACCCTTGGGACCAACTTTGTGATTCTTTACTCCTCCAGCATCCCTTTCCACCATTCTGACTAAAGTTAAAGCTTGTGTGTGAGATCCATTGACCAGGTGAGAGTCTCAGTACCTTGACCTCTGCATCACTACGTCGAGCATTATTTCTGGCTCCGTGGATTTCTGCCTCCAGCAGACAGGCATCAGCTTGGCTTCGCCTTCCATCTTCCAGTCTTCTGTTCTCTTCTCCTTACAGCATCACTGTGATTTCACTTGTGCTACTTTTCTTGTTGGAAAATCCTACTTCCGGCAAATATTGAACTGTTTTCAAATATTGTGTGCCAGGTACAATTCCTTCAACTATCTACCTCATTAAAAAGCAATTCATTCACTAGATATAAGTACCACGCTCACTATGGCAATGATTTATTAGATGACACACTCATGGAGATGAGACCCTCTTCTCAAATCAACACCAGAGAATCATTTGAAATCTGAGTAATGTAAATAAATAAAATGTCAGACAGGTTAAACATAGAATTGCCATATGAGGCAGCCATTCCACTCCTAGGCATCTCCCCAAGACAGTGAAACACACACACACACACACACACACACACACACACACACACACACACACTTACAAATGTTTATAACAACTGCATTCGCAATAGCCAGAAGGTGAAAGCAGTACCAATGCCGGACCACTCAGGAGTGGAGAAAGGGAATATGGCGGCTCTCTACAGTGAAATCCAGCACTGGAAAGGAGCGGGATTCTAACTCACGCTATTGCAGAGATGAGCCATGAGAGCATTATACTGTCAAAGACGCCAAACACGAAAGCTGCACATCTCAATAACAGGCAGACTCACAAAGACAGGAAGCTTAGCGGCCGGAGAGATGGCTCTGCAGTTAAGAGCACTGGCTGCTCTTCCAGAAGCCTGGGGATCAATTCCCAGCGCCCATACGGCAGCTCACAACTGTCTGTGACTCTAGTTCCAAGGGGCCCAACCCCCTCTTCTGACCCCCAAGGGGGGTGGAATCGGAGTGACTGTCATGGAGGCTCTGAAATCAGAGAGTGGTGACATTTACACTGGCCCCTGAAAATACCAAGGACCACTGAGTTTCACCTTTAAAACATCAAATTTCTGGTATGTCAGTTAAGTCTCAGTAAATCTATTAAAGGCAATAATAATACCCCTTTCCGTGGAATGGCTGCTTCAGAGGCACACGTGTGGAGGCACAGGTGGAGCTTGGACCAGGAACCCAGGCCTGTTCCAACCCATCCTCACTCCATCTCTCTGGGCCTTCACTGTGGGATAAAGAAATCCAAGGGCTAACACTGAATATCTCTCAGGGTCCAGCTTTGCTGGAAGACTGTTATAGAATCAGTGGTAAAGGAGGGTGAAGCAATGAAGAAACTCACCATGCCACATTTATCAAAATAAGAAACACTTGGGGCTGGAGAGATGGCTCAGCAGTTAAGAGCACTGGCTGCTCTTACAGAGGACCCAGGTTCAATTCCCAGCATCCACATGGCAGATCACAACTGTCTGTAACTCCAGTTCCAGGGAATTTGACATTCATGTAGGCAAAACATGAATCAATGCTCATAAAGTAAAAATAAATAAATTACATTAAAAAAATACCATGAACATTAAAATGATGCATGCTTTATTACTTTGAAAGTAATAGGCTCTTCTGTTACTGTTTTAACAATGAATACTACATTCCTCCTGGAAAATGACATCAGCATAATTCACAAATTTGTAGCAGGAAATTTATTTAACTTGTCACTGAACTACTTCAAAGAATTTTTTTCCTCAAATGCAAATTCTCCTTCCTTTCATTAAGCTTTTATTTCTTAAGCTGAAGATTTAAGAAAACACTTGCTTCTTTCTTCTATCTTTTTCTGTTTTATTTTGGCAAGCAACTGTGGCATGACTCACCCAGTCATTATATAGGAATGTTGGTCTGGCATTTTAACTATTTAAGGGTAAAGATGTAGATGACGTTAAATAGTGTTTTCTATTCTTATTGTTTTTAGCTACTATTTTATTATTTCTCATTTTTACTACATAAACATCTTATTATTTGTATAGTATGGATACTGTAAACAAATTCGATAAGCAATGAATGGATTTAGGAAAGTATTTGCACAGAAGCTGAATTATCTATAAAATGAATAGGATTCTTACAAGCAATTGAAAAAGAGGATAAGTAATTCAATAGAAAAGTGGGTCAAGCACATAAATTGGCAAATCAGATGGGCCAAGAAATCTCTGAAAAGAGAATTAAACTTTCTAATATGGCAGTTAAAATTAAGGTCTAAAGTTTTCAGATTGGTACAACTTAAAAACGATGACATTGTTACAGGAAATGGTCATGCACACTGCGGGTGGGAATACATCATTTACTCACTGACTCTTTATAGAAATCAACCTGGCAGCAACAATTAATATCTAAGTGATGTACTTCTGAGCAGGCATAGGAAGTGTGTGAGAGGATGTTGATGCTATTGCACAGCACAATTGTACAAATATATTTTATTTTCTGAAGCTTTCATATATTAGTATTGTATTGGCATCATTTCCCAATTCCTTCTGTGTCTCTTCCTCTACCCTTTCTCAACTTCATAGCCCTTTATTCTTTAATCATTATTGTCACACATACACACACACACACACACACCTATAAATACAACCTACTGAGTTCATTTAGTGTTGCTCATATGTATACATGTTTAGGAATGACTACCTGGGATTGGATAATCTATCAGGGTCCTTGAAGACTGCCTTTTCCTCTCTCTGAAGCCATTAAATACTGGTCTCTCTGTCTCTGTCTCTGTCTCTGTCTCTGTCTCTCTCTCTCTCTCTCTCTCTCTCTCTCTCTGTGTGTGTGTGTGTGTGTGTGTGTGTGTGTGTGTGTGTGTGTGTGTGTGTGTGTGCAGGTGCCCATAGAGGCCAGAAGTGCCAGATGCTCTGGGGGCTGGAGTTGTAGTAGCTGTGGACCACCTGATGTGGGTGCTATACATCAGACACTGGTTTATGATCTGAAGTGTTGAGCCATCTCTCCCAGCCCTGAAGTATGATTTAAAAGAAACTTGTAAAAGTTAATAATGAGGAAAAACCTGTTTCTTATCAATACCTTTTGATTTGTATTTAAGACAACAAACAATTCTACCCAAACTAAATCTATCAATAATACCCAAACTAAAATGTATCAATGTTGTTGCACTATGGCAATGTCAAATCAAAGCTTTCTAGGTGAAGTGATTTAACCAGATAGAGAACTTTCTTTGAGGTTCTGCTGCCTGTGTTTTTGATCATTTGGGAGTGAACTCTGTGGATGTCCTTGGACCGCGCTGAAAGATGCACCTCTAAGCTGATGTGAGATAACAGGGGAGGACTGGGGGCCAGTTGATGAGTATCAGCAACCCAGAGCAAGTCCTCTGAAGACTGCCAGCAGTGTTACAGCCATGTGACAAAATGTGAGGGAAAGGAACTGGAGACAAATTTATGACCAGTTCGAAGGACTGTTAGATCATCGTCTAATTAAGTCTGTCTGGGTCTAAAACAGTGGTTCTCAGCCTTCCTAAAGCTGTGACCCTTTAATACAGTTCCTCATGTGGGGACCCCCCAACCACAAAATTACTTTCGTTGCTACTTCATAACTATAATTTTGCTACTGTCCTGAATCATAATGTAAATTGTGTATTCTGATGGTCTTAGGCAGCCCTTGTGAAAGTGTTGTTCAACTCGCTAAAGGGTCTCGACCCATAGGTTGAGAACCACTGGTCTGAAACAAGATTAGGAAGAGCTCTGGTTACTATGGATTATTGGAAAGGAGCGGAACTATATTGAGTTTTGTTTTTTAAAAAATCTTTGTTGTAAACTTTATGGGTTTAAAGGGTATCCTTTCTTGGTGTTTGAAGGAGAATTTAGAAATGGGTGGTTCAATTTTTCTGCCATCATTAAATAGGAAGGTCTCCGTTGACCCATGTGATGTCAGAGTACCCTAAGTTCAGTTACTTTTTTTTTTTTGGTTTTTCGAGACAGGGTTTCTCTGAGCAGCTTTGCGCCTTTTCCTGGAACTCACTTGGTAGCCCAGGCTGGCCTCGAACTCACAGAGATCCGCCTGCCTCTGCCTCCCGAGTGCTGGGATTAAAGGCGTGCGCCACCACCGCCCGGCTAAGTTCAGTTACTTTAAGGAACTGGTATTCACAACAAGATGTTCTGAGATTTCAGAAGGAATTGTGATAGACATGTAGATCTCTGTTACGGGAGGGAGACGGCAGATGAGGGCAGGCAGCAGAGTAGCTCTGTGAACAAGGATACTATGTCCAGGGGAATGTGTGAGTGAGGCAAGGAGAATCCACCTGCCATACACAGGCATAGGGAAGTAAGAAGAGTAGAATGAGAAGGTTTTCAAAGCTGCTGTGAGTCAACAGAAGCCCAGCTGTAGTTAAGTAGCTGTTATTAATTCTTAATGAAAAATCTCAAGTCCTTTGAAAACAATAAAGCAGTGAGGGGGGCCGTAAGACACAAAAATCCCCAAGTGTTACAGCAGTCAATTTGTATTACAATCAATTATTTGTGTTTGTTTACAGTTTCATTAGTATTTGAAAATAAATTTACCTAAGACCCAATTTAAAAAAAAAGGGGGGGGGGGAGAAACTGTTACTCTTCTTGCAAATTAAATCTACACATCAAAAGCTGTCAAACACCTTGTTCCTAAGAGAGGGAAACTCATTAAAACCAAGGCAAAGCTTAGAAGGACCCAAAATGAGACACTAAACTCCTTGATTTAACGCGCAGGTCACCCAGTTCTATGGGAAAGAAAAGCTGTATACCAATCTCCTGAGGCACGTGGATTTCTACGTCATGCCAGTGATGAACGTGGATGGTTATGACTACACATGGAAAACGGTGGGTGAAAGCCAAGAAAGCAGAATACACCCGTTTGGGGGCATACAGAGATGCAGGGTTCGCGGAATCCCGGACCTTGGTGACGAGGTTTTGCTATGAAAAAAGTATTCCATTATGGGAAAATTCAAACATCCATAAAAACAGATGTAATTGCATAACAACAATACACTAGACATCCGTCTCACCGCCTCAGTGATGACGACAAAATGCCCGAGCGTAAAAACTTAGAAGGAAGAAAAGGTTGGTTTTTGATCCAGAGTTTCAGGAACTTCAGTCAATGAGGCTTGTGACAAGAGGTCATGGCAGGGAACACATGATAAAGCAAAAGTGCTCATGTAATGATGGCTGGGAAGCCAAGAGTGAGACGGCGGGGGGGGGGGGGGGGGGGGGGGGGGGGGGGGGGCACGGACGGACACGGGACGTGAGCGGGGGGGGGGGGGGGGCGTGAGGGGGCGGAGCCAATGCCCCCTGCAAGGACACATCCTGCAGCGGGCTCAGTTTCTTCTGCTAGAACCCACTTCTTCCCAATAATGCTGTAGGCTGGCAGCCAAACCTGTAACACCTGGGCTTTCGGGGAATGTTACAGACCCAAGCCACCCCACAGCTCCAGGCCCACTGTGTTTCATTTATGTCTTGTCAATACTATCTTAAAGAAAATCCAAGACACTGTACCATCATTTTATTAATAAACACATCATCGTGCATCTCAGAAATAAGAAACTCTTAAAAAATAAAAGCTCATCATTGTAGCAGTGGCTCATGTTTGTAATCCCAGTAGCTAGGAAGCTGAGGCAGGAGATCGCTGGGAGTTTGAGGTCAGCTTCAACTAAATAATGTTCTGTATGCCAGCCTGTGCAGTGTAACCAACCAAATGGTCAACCCATCCCAACCCAAAAAGGCACAGTGTGGAGAGAACAGAGAGAACGCTAAAACGCATGGCCGGCTCATAGTTTCAATCTGAGATACACGCTATTATACTTTTCTTTGAAGGAGTTCAAAATGAGCTTGCACATGAAATTAATTTAAAGGAGGCGGGGCTAAGTAAGAAGGCAGTGAGATGCTTAGTGGAAACAAATGAGTTTTCATACTTGTATAGTCAAAATCCATGAGATATTATCATTTTTTTATTTGGCTCAAGCTAACAGTTCGAGTGTGACTGGGACCTGGATGGAGATGGGGCTGTGTGAGAGAACTGTGGCAGATGGTCCAGCTTGATAACCTGTCCCCATCTGGTTCCTTTAGAACCGAATGTGGAGAAAGAACCGTTCTGTCCACAAGAACAACCGATGTGTGGGCACAGACCTAAACAGGAACTTCGCTTCCAAACACTGGTGTGGTAAGCATTTGTTTCATGCATCTCTTCATGAAAATGGTGAGAGTTGCCCATGAATTCAAAGTAATTACAGGGAGGTATGTCGGAAACAGGAATAATCTAATAACGAACATCTGAAGTAAATATAGTGCTGTGACTGTGGACTGGAGCCAGCAAACTGCTTTAACCGCTCCCTGATGCTGTGGGCTCATCTTTAAATAAGGAAATTGAACAGGTTAATTCTTATTTATTCTTTGATAATCTTTCACATATAGACAATGTAGCTTGATTATATCCATTTTCAACTCCCCTTCTCACTTTCCCCAAACTGCCCTAAATATGTGCCTCTCCCATCTTAGTTATCCCTCCTCTTCCCCTTCCTCCTCTCCTCCTCCTCCTCCTCCTCCTCCTCCTCCTCCTAGTTCACTGAGTCCAGTGACCACATCCACAAAGAAAAACGGCAACCTTCTCCCAGCAACCATCAATTGCAAATGGCCCCTCAACTAGGAAATGGTCCTGGTGAGCTCCGGCCATATCCATGCTAGCATTTTGACAGGTCTGATCTTGTCCCAGTGAGTACAGGGAACCACAGCTGCTGTGAGTTCCTGGTGCAGCGTCATGTCATGCTCAGATGACAGTGCTCCCAAGCTCTCCTCAGACTCCTTTGGCTCTCCCATGCTTCATTCTTTTTCCTGCCTCTTTCTCAGTATTTCCTGTTCCTTGCAGGGACTGATAGAGATGATCCACTTAAGGCTGAGGACTCAACCAGGACCAGTTTTTAAAGATCTCTTCTAGTTTCTAAGTTAAAAAGCAAAACAAAACACTATCTCAGACTGAGAAGGGCATTATCAGAGATCTTGCTTTAACATGTCATGTTCATCCTCAGGACATCAAAGACTAGGGTAGGGGACACCCTCTCATTTTCAGTTGCACAGGTAAACTTTTTTTTTTTTGTAGAAACATTTTCTTTTGTGTCCGCTATTGTCTTTCTTAACAAGTTCGTCCTTTCATGAATAACATAAAATACTGAGAAGTAATAACAATATAAAAGGTGACGCAAAGACAGGCAAGTGGGAGTTTGTCATCCTTTGGCTTGAATGAGCTGATGTGCTCGGTGAACGTGGACTTGGGTCGTGGAAACAATCAGTTCTCAGGGAGGCAGATGTAAGCTCACCCTTTTTTCCCACTGCATCCAACTTTATAGTTTATCATGCTACAGTTAAGAAGCAGCTATGAGCCAAGAAGGAATGGTGTACATCTGTAACTCCAGCACTCCTGGGCTGAGGCAGGCAGATGGCAAGGTTTCAGGTCAGACTGGGCCACACAGCATGACCCTGTAAGAAACTACAAACAAGGCCCTTAATTATACAATGAGCTTCAATCATCTGCCAAATTGAGAATATATACACATGGCTTGGGTAAAATGCGGCTCTCTGAGGTTTCAGTCCTGTGAATTAGAGACATGAGGAGAAATACTGAAAGGCAGGTGTATTAGTCAGAGTTCTCTAGAGGAACATAACTGATAGAATGAAAAAAAGGATGTGTGTATAATATATATATGTGTGTGTATATATATGTATATTTATGTATATATGTATATGCATGTATATATACACTCTACTTCAAATAATTGTTAAGAACAATCCCTCACAGGTGTACCCAGCCCCTTGGGTTTTAGTTAACTCTAAATGTTGTCAAGCTGGCAACAAAGGAGAGCCATCATATCAGGCTACCATACACAGGGACACACATTATGAATTAATTAAATGGATTAATAAATGAATTAATGAGTTAATAAAGCTTAAATTAATTAATAAAGCTTACTCTGTTACCAAATATCATGGTCACATTTTAAGTCATAGCCCATGTATCTAACTGTAAATTAGATCTGGAGACTTATTTCCATGGTCTCACTCTGGTTGAGGGTTCTTTTTTTTTTTAATGAATTATGCTGATTTTTAAGCTGTTAACGTCAGAAAAATGCATCTGTAATGACTAAGGAAATTCAGTTTATTTTCCCTCATTTTATCAAAAGCTTGGAAACAAGTTAATAGCTGAGACCTTCCTGGTTGTGTTTTCAGGATCCAAGATGGCTCCCCCAGGCATTCAGAGAGACCCACCTAGGATGGCCTTAGCAAGCCTGATGTAAAACTTGATTTCAAAAGAAACACAGATGACATTTACTGGATATCAAAACTACGTTCTTTATAGAGCCTTCCCTTGTCCATTTTTCTGCATTTGCTGCACTGTAGATTTAAGGTGAATCACAAAGCACAGAACACACAACTTCTAATAACATCTCATTAACCATTTTACCACAGAGGAAGGTGCATCAAGTTTCTCCTGCTCTGAAACCTACTGTGGACTTTATCCTGAGTCGGAGCCAGAAGTGAAGGCAGTGGCTGACTTCCTGAGGAGAAACATCAACCACATTAAAGCTTACATCACCATGCACTCATACTCCCAACAGATACTGTTTCCCTATTCCTATAACAGAAGCAAAAGCAGGGACCATGAGGAACTGGTAAGCACTACTTGTGAATTTCATTATAAGCATTTTAGAAATAAAACAATATTCTGTCTAAGAATCAAAAAAGGTAGGAAAACGTTTTTCCTTTAGGGAACAATAGGTAGGTGTTTTCCTCTACCCTCTAACTCTGCCAGGAATCAGCTTGGGTCCCTAAGAGAATTCCAAGAATTGCTGTTAAACTGAGGACAGGAACTTCGTTCTCAGGGAATGGCTTCCCTGTTACTATGGAGAGGCCAGGAGGGCGCTGTTCTACTTGACTTACATGGTGGTCACCCACTTCCTAGGCCAGCTTGCCTCTGGCTAACTCCAAGCCCCTCACTCATTTGGGTGCCAGCAGTGAGAACTATTTCTGTACTGCCCTTTTCAATTCCCAAGGGTTGGTGCTATCCAGGAACCATCAGTGTCTACACCAAGACAGACCTGTTTGGAATGTAGCACACAATACAGGACAGTCAGCAAAGGCCCACACAGTCTGCTATCTTCTTACAACTTTTTGGTCCCAGACGCTCTGTTGGGATTGACAGTAAAAGATACAGGACCCTCCGTGGGTTATACCCAGACTTAGTCAAGCCCTTGTCCCAGGTGCTTCCCAGACAGTGGTGGTGCCCTGGCATGGGCAAAGCCTGATCTCTCTTTAGTGGATTGTGCTTATCGCTCTTTGTTCCCTGGCTCTCTTACCAGAGTAAAGTACACCCACATTGAGTAGGCTGTTTATATACCTGGGCAGGTATTACTTATGACAAATACTTTTTTTTTGCATGTTCTGAAAATAGCTTGTTTGAAACAAAAACATACTTAATATTTATGCTCTTTTTAATTCTCAAAGGAAACATTTTAAAGACATGTTTATCATTTTTTATTTTTATTAGTTTATTTAGTAGCACTGTGTATAGAGAAATAAAAGGACATTTGCCATGATTTAAGTGTAGAATTAGTCTGATTTTGCCTTATTTGGTGGTTGCTATCAGCACAACTACTTATTATGGGTACAATTCTGTATTCTGTCAACATTCAAAGAAGCATTAGGTAAGCCCTGCAATTAAGGATAATTCCATATGATTAGAGAGCTGGTCCAAAGTGGGTACCACAGACGGCTGTACTCATAGACGATGCATCCTCATTACCACATAAGCGCAACAATGGCAGAAGTCACCACGGCCTGGGATGCCAGGAAAGGAAGAGGGTAAAATGAGCCCCATTTGTGACAAATTATTGTTCACTAAGGGGCGAAGAAACAAGAATAATAAAGTTTATTGATGTCAAGGGGCAGATGCCATTGCAACCAGGCACTAAGAGATTTCTATGGGTCAGGGAGGACCTTCTGTGCAGAGGAGATGGTGTTTCCCACAGGAATGTACTCAGGGGACTGTGGGGGCCACAAGTAAGTAGCTGAAGTTAAGCTTGTGAAGGTGTTTGAACGCCAATCTGTATTTTATTATGAGGATAATGAAGTTCCATTGAAGAGGTTTTCCATCTGCATGGGTGTCTGTGAACTATGTGCACGCAGTGCTTGAGGAAGCAAGGGAAATGCACTGGAGCCTCTATCTAGGGCTGGAGTTAGAGAGCAGTGAGCTAGCTGCCTGTGGGTGCTGGCAACCAAACCTAGGTCCTCTGTAAGAGAAACCAGTGGCTCTAAACTGCTAATCCATTTCTCCAGCCCCCACAAGCTTATTTTTAATTTTTTTCTTACATTTATTGTGTGTGTGCATGTGTGTGTGTGTGTGTGTGTGTGTGTGTGTGTGTGTGTGTGTGTGTGTGTGTGTGTACACGCATGCGCACACGTGAAAGTATACATGTGGAGGTCAGAGGACAACTTTCAGGAGTTGGTTCTCTCCTTTCACTATGCGGGTCCCAGGGACTAAACTCAGGTCGTCAGACTTGGCAGCAAGCACCTTTATGTACCCATAGTCATCCCATTGGCGCCTAAAACCTTTTTTTTTTTCTTTCACAAAAAACTGGCACAACACAATAGCCATGGAGAGTCGTCTGGGTCCTCAAGCAACTGAAAGTACCGTGATGTTAGCTCCAATTTTAGAAAAGCTAAGTGTTAAGTGGGAACTTCAGACACCATTTCGAGGAGTTGGGATCACATGTAGTGGAACTTGCTTCATATCAGGGGCATGGCCCATCATTTGATGAGCCTTTGGGAGTTGTTAGACAAATACACAATAGAGTTTGTGAGAAGCAAATTATGCATACAGCAGATGCGTGTGTGCACTTTAGAGAAGTGGAATTCAGAGTCTGGTGATAATTTTGTCTAGAAATGGGATAGCTGCCAGTATTATAAATATCTAGTTCATTTTACATAATTAATTCCTGAAAAGCTATGTCAGGTTTTTAAAACGCAAATTAAAAAAACATTCAATGTATTGGCAGAGTTTTTTTTTCTTAAGCTACTTAGTTGTGATTGCCATAGGAGGAAAACATTTTTTAAGTTAATGTATTCTTTTTAATTTACATTTTGGATAAATCCAGGCTTTATATGTGTTATATATATATACATATATATGTGTGTGTATATATATAACACATATATACACACTTGGATTCAATTAATGTGATTATGATTGTTTAGAAAAGTCAATCTCTCCTGTTTCAAGGTTGCAAACTGACCAACATCTCTCTCCGACTGCTTCTAGTCTCTCGTAGCCAGTGAAGCAGCGCATGCGATTGAAATCATTAATAAAAACACCAAGTATACATATGGCAGTGGCTCCGAAAGTCTATGTAAGTATGCCTCCTCTTTCCCTCAGCCCATCTTTCCTTCCTTCTTCTCCCTTTCCTCCTGCTGGAGATGACACCCCAGGCCTTAGGTACACTGGACAACCACACTGGTGCTGAGGGCAGTCCTCATTGTTTCTTCCTGAGAGCTTAGACCATGGGGCCCAACAGAGGCACCCACTCAGTTTTCTTGTTTAGGTTTAGACAACAAAAGAAGCCAAAGTGGCATTTAAGACGGGAAGCTTATCACTATAGAGCGGGGGTTATATAACTAGTAATCACACTATGTAAAGAAGGAAAGGCCACAGCTATCATGTGATATATCAATCTAGAAGATTCCATTTACCTTGCATGTTGTTTAGTGACAGCCTGTTTCCTGACTCATAGTGAGAGCTTGAGCGTGGAAAACTCAACAAATGTTTCTGACCCATTTCTGCTGAAAGTATTCATTGAGGAAACTCCCGCATAGGCGGCAAACATTGATTCTGTTCTTCTAAAGCTAAAGGATAGATGGGTGTCATGTGACACAATTCCTGGGGAGATAGGAACAAGTGTCTACTCACTCTAGATAGGGAAACTGACAACAGACCAAAGTAGAGATGACATCTTTGTCCAGTCTGGTGAACCCAAGAGTTTGGGGCTTGCTTACAGAAATATGGCTAAGGGGTTCCTTACAGGAGTAGAAATGACTCAGTGGCCACAACATGACCAAAGCCCACCCCAGCATGGGCGATAGCTTAGGGAAGCTGGAACCCTAGGACGCACAGCTGGAATGTTGTATCTAGAGAAAACTGCTACACAAAAAACGGGATAAGAACAGAAAACAGACATGTAAATAAATGTCAGCAAAGTGTAACTCAACGGCCAAGCCTAGGTCACTACGTGTTTTCATAGCCTTTGAACTAAGAATGCTTTTCCTATTTTTCTAAATATTTGAAAAAAGCATGAAAATAATTAAATTTTGACACATCAAAATGATATGAAATTCATATTTGTTTCCATGAATAGTTTTATTGGAACACAGCCGTGCTCCTTAATTTGCATATTATCTATGGCAGCTTTCATGGCAGCCCAGATAATTGCAACAGAGACCAGATGGCTCACAAAACATAAACGATTTCCTATCCTGCCTTTTTCAGAAAAACAAAAAAAAAGCCTTGCCAACTTCTGATGCAAACAAATGGTAAAATAAAGTACAATTTCCCTCAGTGATTTCAAGAAAATAAAATGGATTTTTAGGTTTGAGAATTATTGTAGATGAGAGAAGCTACTTGGCTAATGTGGCCTGGCAAGGCAGTCCTTGGAGAACTAACTATTAAGTAGTTGCCAAATGACAGTGTAATATGTCGTATAAAAGCATGAAAAGGATTTTGAGACAATATAGTGAAAGCTCAGGTCTCACTTAATAAATATGATTGGCACAAGGCTATAACAACAGTTGCACCCAAATTCTTTTCAATACCCCTTTACGTATCAAAATGCTTTATTAGCAGAAGTCCAAGCTCTCCCTCTTCCTTCATCTTCAACCACCCCTGGGTTGTCTATCAGATTGGGCCACCTACTTCTGTCCTTTGGTGTCACTGCCCCATGGCTGCCTTTGTTGACATAGACCATCTTCACACACTCATTCACCTAGGATGTCTCTCTCTCTGTCTCTCTGTCTCTGTATGTCTGTCTGTCTCTCTCTGATGTGTGTGTGTGTGTGTGTGTGTGTGTGTGTGTGTGTGTGTGTGTGTGAGCATAGGATAAAAGTTGGAACTATAAATTAGGTGTTCGTTGATCATAATTATCAGAAATACTGGTGGATGACTGAATGCATCCACTATTCATGGATATCTTTAAAATATTAGAAATTGTGCATAAACCATCTATAATACCAGCACTCTAGCACTCAGGAGGTGAAGTAGAAGGACCAAGAGTTCAGGGACATCCTGGGTTATGTGGAGAATTTGAGGCCAGCCTGCACTATGTGAGACTATATCTCAAAAAGAGTAGAAGTAATGTTTCATTAAACAAACCTCACAAGCAATCCAAGCACAGACAGAAAGAGGCACACTATAAAATTGCTTAATTGGAAAACTTTAGAAAATCAATCGAAACTATTTGTAACATACTTTAAGTAAGGTGGTTGATGAGTCACTAAATATATACAAATGTACATTTCATATATGTTCCAGGCAGAGAATAAAAGTAAGGCATGGTGGTACACCCCTGCAATCTCAGCACTTGGTGGGGCTAAGTCAGGAAGATCACTAGCTTGAGCTAAACTTGAACTATAGAGTGAGTTGCAGGCCAGCCTGGGCTATATAGTCAGACCTGTCTCAAACACACACACACACACACACACACACACACACACACACACACACACACGAGAGAGAGAGAGAGAGAGAGAGAGAGAGAGAGAGAGAGAGAGAGAGAGAGAGAGAGAATAGGTCTGACTGCCTGCCGCAACATGTATGAATATATATGTGTGCAAGCATACATATACATGTGGGTTGTAAAATGTGTGCATGTGTATACATAAACACAATAAATCTGTGGTGCCTACAAAAGAAATCTAAAACTTCTACTGAAAGACAAATAACAGGAGAATTCTTCATGTTTTGAGCAATAAGAAAATACTATTAACATTTTCCTAAATTGATTTGTATAGTTGATGAAATTCCATGAACACTTAAATACTTTTGAAGGAAGCCTACATGCTTTGTGATGGGGAAAGAATATTGAAATTTTCCTAAATTGATTTGTATATTTGATGCAATTTTATGACCACTGACATGATTTGAAGTTCATTTGGAAGCATACATTTGGTAGAAGAATTCGTAAAATGCTGACAATAGGCTAATAAGGAACAATTTGCCCCACAGAGGTATTGAAGCATGTTATAAGCACAGGATAATAGGGTAGTGTAGAACTGAGCCTGGAGGAGACAGATCATTAGAAGGAAATAATGGGTATAGAAAGAACTCAAATAAGGAGTCCTGGTTTTTCATAAAGGAGACACTTTTAAGCCAGTTGAATTATTTATTTATCAGTCCTAGAAAAACTGACAAGTCACTAAGAATAAAAACTGAATTAAGCTGGGTGGTGGTGGTACACACCTTTAATCTCAACACTCAGGAAGCAGAGGCAAGTGGATGGATCTCTGTGAGTTTGAGGCCAGCTTGGCCTACAAAGTGAGTTTGATGACAGCCAGAGCTGTTATACAGAGAAACCCTGTATCGAAAACAAACAAACAATAACCAACCAACCAAACACAAACTAAATTAAATTATTAATACATCTTTCACGGAAATAAATGCCAAATTTATCAAATAATAAAGTACAAAAACCCCACCACAAGCTAAAAACTTGAGTGAGAAAAGCTTCACATGTTACACGGATCTAATAACACTAATGCTGTTCTTACAAACAATATATAGAATGAACCATGTAGAAAAGTAAGCAAGGACATTGAAAGAAAAATACAAAGATGAACAACAAATATTTAAAAGCATGCACTTCACTGATAAGGAAATCTAAACCAAAGACAATTGCATATTATTATTATTATTTTTGCTCAGAAAATTGCCAGGATCATGATTCCTGCCCATGGTGCAGGAGCTGGCAGTGAGTGTACTCACACCCTGCTAGGAGGAGTAGGTTCCATTCTTTTGGATAGTACTTAGTAGCAAGTGTGGTAACTATTAAAGATAAACAACCCTAGACAAGTAACTCTACCTCTAGAGAATATTTTGAACTAATAAACATCGATTTATAAACAAAGGTCTCACTCTAAAGAAACTAAGTAATTTATCAACAAAATTATTTAAATCAATCACATATAGTTTTACAATGCAGTCCTATAAAATCATTAAAAAATGATGTAGCTTCAAATTGTTATGATACTTTTGGAAATGTTACAATAATTATGTTTAGAAACGTTACAAAATAGCAGACAGGCACTGTGTGACTTTATGTAACAAAATTAAACCAGAAAAATTCATTTAGTGCACTGTAAAATGCACTAAAATGTTATTGGCACTTATCACACTCCTTGGTCAGATTGTTGTTGAGTTCTGGGCAACATCTGTTTTCTTTCTCAACATGTTTTCTTTTCAATGTCCACAATTTTTGGATAAGAAATTTAGGTAACTTAATTAGAAGAAAGCAAAGTTATTTTCATTTCTAAAAAAAAAAAATTGAGTTGAAATAAATATATTTCAAGATATTCTTTTTCGTCTTCTTTTAGACCTAGCTCCTGGAGGTTCTGATGATTGGATCTACGATTTGGGCATCAAATATTCATTTACGATTGAACTTCGAGATAAAGGCAGATATGGATTCTTGCTGCCTGAGAGATACATCAAACCCACCTGTGCAGAAGCTCTGGCAGCAGTCTCCAAAATAGCTTGGCATGTTATTAGGAACCTTTAATGCCTGTGCCTCTGCTCCGGTGTTTTTATTTTACTGATTTCAGCAACACCAAATTGTTGAACTGGCTTTTTTCTAAGTCTAATCAGTTTCCTTGGTTTTGTCAAAGAATAAAATACATAACACTTGGAGCTTAAGGGTGACAAAGGCTCGTGTGTATTTTAACCTTTTTATTGTAAGGGGCTAGGTATTGATCCCCACTCCCTCATCCCTTGATTTAGGATGACCAGTTATCTTAAGCAGTTTTAAGATTTATTATTTGTATGAGCGCGTGTGTGCCCCTGCGTGAGTTTAAGCACCTGGTTCTTGCTGGACCCCAAAGAAAGCGCTGGATTCACTGGAATTGAAGTTACTGAAGGTTATTCGTAGCCACGTGGGTGCTGGGAACCAAATCTGGTCTCTCCAAGAGCAGCAACCGCTCTTAACGGCTGGAGCTGTTTCTCCAGCCCCTCTTTAGCTACTTTAATACTAATTTTATGCAAATCATTCGACCCAAAAAGCAAAAGCAAAGGCACTTTGAAGCATCTTAAGGATTTCCACTCCAAAATTGCAGTCAGTCTCTGCTCGTGTTCCTGAAAGCACAATGCGTACACAGCCTTTAGTCCAGCCATAGGCCCAGGCGGGGGAAGGGCGGACGTCAAATTCTGCAGCCCAGAAGCATGCCAGGCTGTGGTCACTGCCAGTGACAAAGTGGCACTTTACGCACTGGAAAACCGTTAAATCGAGAACCTTTCCATTAATTGAAAAATCTCAGCTCTCCCTAGCCAGCTCCCAGTTTCCTTTCCCAGATCTCTGAACGCAGGAGGCGCTCACACGCCTCACCGCCCTCGTGACGTTGGGGGGGGGGCGTAGTCCGGGAGGGGCGGGGCTTACTCTCTGACGACTAATCTGGCGGCCGGAAGTCGCCGGGCCTGTAGAGGAGCGGGGCAAACCCCTGACTTCCGGCCGCGTTTAGCTGCTACCTGTCTAGCGGCCTGGCAGAGTTGCGGTCCTAGCGCGTTGCCCTGCTGCGGCCTCTGTGCGTCTCGTCTTGCGTCCCGAGCTCCCTGGAGCCTAGCGAGGATCCGGGCGGCTCCGCTGCTCCCTGTTGCCGGCGTCCGCCCGCCTGCGGAGGACCGGTTCCTGGGAGCCGCGCGTGCACGTCCTCCTCGTTGTCCTCCCGGGGCCGGGCGCGGGGACAGTCGGCTGCCCAGCTTCTTGGAGCGGAGGCGGCAGGGACGCCCGAGGACTGCGCTTACTGAGGGTGCTCGGAGAGGAGGTAAGCGTTCTGGGAGCTGATCGGGAGAGGCGTTGGGCCGGGCTCAGGTGGGAGGTTGGCGCTGTGTTCTCCATCCTCTCGCGGCTTACGCTCCTTTGCTATTCTGAACTCTGCTTGAGCATCCCACTCTGAACTCTGCAGTAGCTCCCAGTGCTTAGATGTGTCGTCTGTTGCTCTAGTAGTGGTCCTGGAGTCCGTGTCAGGGGGCAGGCGGACTTGGATACCCTGGCGCGGTGGTCTCATTTGTGTGTGATGAAAGGGTGCAGCGGTGCAGTCTTGGATTTAGAATTATCTCCACGTATTCTAAATCTGTTGGAGAGAGTCTCGCTTTTGATTGTTTCTGTCTGGTCTTGCATTTTTCCCGGCTGTAATAAATACTATTGGGAGTGTAGGAGTTTTACTTTATCTTTACACTCCCTAGTCACTTTTGACAGCTATATCAGAAGCAGGGGAGGGTGGAATGAAGGGAGAATGTATGTCTGGCAGTATCTTTCTCTAAGCAGATTAACATTTATGTGGCTGGAAAAGTATTCAGAGTTGAGAAGACTTGGATGATATTGGTAGGATCTTGTTTGTGAAGGGCAGTATCTTGTTAATTAGTTTTTATTACGAATTATGGACATGTGGAATCTTCTGGTTTGTGGGGTTTTGAGAAAGTAATTTGAGAAGTTTGGAACTTTTAAGTCTGGCATTTAAGATTTTAAAAGTCTGTGATACTGGGCGGTGGTGGCCCACGTCTTTAGTTCCAGCATTCGAGAGGCAGAGGCAGGCGGATCTCTGTAAGTTCCAGGCCAGCCTGGTCTACAACAGAGCGAGTTCAGGACAGCCAGAGCTACACAGAGAAACCCTGTCTTGAAACACAAAACAAAACAGTAATAACAACAATAAAACAAGCAAAAACTCCTTAGAAAAGTCTGTGATATAGTTGCTCAGTTAAATCCAAATGATGATGTGGTTCTGCCTGTGTGTTTAGTTTTGCTATGTAATTTTGACATTACTAGCTTTAGTATCTAAGCAACATGTTTTGCAACACAGTGTATAGATCTGCAAGCAACTTCCAGCCTTGTAATGGCTTGATTCTATCAGATGACATTTTCAACTGCAGGCTTAGCAGGTGGATGTAGGTATGTAGCGTAGCAGTTTGTGCAAAAACAGTTGTGCCCTGAAACTTGAGTTCAGTGTGAGCACCTGGTAGGATGCATTTGTTCAAAACACACAGTTGACATCCACCCATAGCTTGCGGCCTCAGATACCCGAATGTACAGACACTCAAATCCCTTCTAGAAAATGATATAATCTTTGAACTTGTCCACACCTTGTGTGTTTTCAGTCACCTCTATACTTCTAATACATAATATGATGTAAATACTATATACTGTTTAGGAATAATATAAATAAAGGTTTGTACATTTTCATGTAGGTTTTTTTAAAAGTATTTTCAATGCAGGGATACAGCCTTTTATTTGCTTTCTGTTTGCTGGTGATTCAGAGTGATCATAACTGCTTATTTTGAGATACATATTCACGGCCACACTACCCTGAATGCACCTGGTTTCAGAAGCTAAGCAGGATCGGGCCTTGTTAATACTTGGATTGGAGATGTCTGTAATATAAATTTAAAAATACTAAAGCACAGTGTAACATATATCAATTCATTTTATTCAGTTGTTAGTGTTACTTAATTATGAATTTTGAATTTAAACCTAGGTCACATCCTCGAGATATTTAACTTCCCAAAATTTGAATCCAAAATATACCTAGTCTCAAACATTTAGGATAAGGGTTCTCAGTTAGCATATGTTTTACTGACAGACTTTTAGCAGACCTTGGAAGTAATTATTTGAAAAGAGCCACCTCTGTGATGCTCCTTTCTCAGCCGTGTTTATGGTGTGGAACTCAGAGTACATTGTTCCCTGCAGAAGGGGAGCAGTTCTCATATTGGAGATACATTTTCTGTCTTAGTAGGTTCATCATTAGTGCCCCAGAATTTGCTTTTTTTAGTTGAAGGGGTTGATGAAAGCCCCAGATGTCTATTAAATTCCAAAGGAGAGCAGATAAGGAAAACATCTGCGTAGTCGTTTGGTGTAGTTGAGAAAGACATGACGAAACAGGTGACGACAGCTTAAACAAAACAGTTTGGATACCAAGTGAAGGGACATCTTCAGACAAGAGTCAGTTTACTAGCAGGTGATTGGTTTAAAGACATTGGCATCCACAATTCCGGTTCTTGTGTCTACTATTTTCTCCTCCACTTTGAAGCATTTATATCTATCCCATTAATGGTTTTTGTCCTCTAATCAAATCTACACTCCACTCTTTTGTGGTATTCATCTTTCTTTGAACCCATCATTTAGGATTGAAATTTTTGAGCTTTCACATCAGTTGATTACATGGTTTTGAGGTACATGATTTAATATATAAAAAATAAATGTTTTTCTGGTGTATTTATTTTCCAACAAATGAGCTTTTAAGTTATATTATTTTCTGTTCAAACAAAGTGTTTATTCATGCAGAGTCATAACTGTGTGGCTACTAATGTTGAGGATAGTGTTGTGTTGAAGACTGCTAGTAGGAGTTCTTAGGTGGATAATGTATTAATTACATTTATTGTGTACATATACATAATGTATTGTGTACATTAATTACACAATGTATTAATTGTGTTACTGTAATGAAATTCCCGATACTTATGAAGAAAGCTAATTTCGACTTCTGACTTTAGAGATTTATGCCCAGGATTGCATCCATTTCTTTGGGCCTCTTGGGTGGGTGGCACAAGCCAGGAAGTGAAGTTAGAAGGAGAGATGAACAGACAGGTTCTACAGTTCCCTTTGAAAGCATCCCTTTGCCTCATGATGCAAGGATTTTTCTATTATTCTTTACCTCTTAAAAGATCCACAGGACCTCATGTTACCACCACCCTGAGGACCAAGCCTTTACTGATAGTCTTTTGGGGGAGGGGGTGGAAACTCATCCAAACCTTAGCAAAGGATCAGAGGTGTTCATTCCAGAACCATTGTGGTAATAGATGCCTGTAATACCAGAACCCAAGAAGCTGAAGTAGGAAGAGTCATTCCAGATGGATAACTTTAATTCTTGTTTTTACCTTTTGTGTCTCATGGTTTCGTCCTCTCTATAATCTAGACCCATTACCAAAATACAGTGTAATTGTAGGACAGAATCTGGCACTATAGGATTCTGAGGCAAAAGGAGAATACATCTTTTACTTCATTGTATTTCCCCCTTCATTTGGAAGGCTAAGTAGTAGCTGGGAATAAAAATTCCTGGGAAATTCCCTTATAGGCAAATCTTTTTTTTTTTTTAAGATTTGTTTATTTTATTTTTTATGTATATAACTCTTTTGTCCAGATGTATCTATGTATGTGCATTGCCTATGTGCCTGGTGCCTTAGGAGATCAGAAGAGGGTGTTGGATCCCTTGGAACTGGAGTTAATGGATGGTTGTGAGCTACCACGTGTGTGCTGGGAATTGAACCATGGCCCTCTGCAAGAGCAACAAGTTCTTTTAACTGATGATCCCCTACAGGTGACTCTTGACCATTCTTCATGCTCTTTGTAAAAGCAATTGATTCTGTTTGTATGGGGAGCAGCTTTTTACTATAGGAGTACAAGGCTGGGATGTGGCTTATAAGTTGGGGTCTGTAATTCTTACTTCGTTTGGTGTAAAGTTCCAATGGGATCTAGGCATCTAGGATTGGAGAGGAGCTGTGAAGCCATGCATTCTAGCAGTAGGTCAGAGAAGAGAGTGGTGATGAGCTAAGTGGAGGTGACAGCATGTAGAGAAGTAGTAGAGCAAGGGAATACCATGATCCTTTAGAAGACCAAGAAAGGAGATCGCAGATGATCAGTACTTCAGATACAGTAATACATAGTGTCTTAGTCAGGGTTCTCTAGAGAAGTGAGCCTCAACCTTCCTAATGCTGTGACCCTTTAATACAGTCCTCATGTTGTGGTGACCCCCAACCATGAAATTATTTTGTTGCTACTTCTTAACTGTAATTTTGCTACTGTTATGAATCATAATGTAAATATTTGATATGTGACCTCTGTGGGAGTCTTGACCCACAACTTGTGAACCACTGCTCTAGACGAACAATGGATACATATGAATGAATATATATTATAGATATTTATGTATTATATATACATGTGATATATGTGTGTCATATATATGTATATATATGATTTATTAGAGTGGTTCACAGGCTGTGTCCACCTTGTCCAACAATGACTATCTCCAATAGAAAGATCAAGAATTCAGTGGTTTTTCAGACCACAAGGCTGGATGTCTCAGCTGGTCTTCTGTATACATCAGAATCCTGAAGTAGGTTCTGTTACCAGAGAAGTGAGAGCAAGCAGGCAAAGAGCAAACATTTTCTTCTTGTACTTTATATAGCTTCCACCAGAAGATGTGGTGGCTCTTTCCACCTCAAAACATCTGGATTTAGGATGGGTCTTCCAACTTCATATCATTCAATCATGAAAATTCCTTCCCAGATGGACACAGCCCCTTGGGTTTTAGTTGATTTCAGCTGTAGTCAAGTTGACAACAAGAACAGTATCACAAAGCTTCTTGCTTGGTGGAATCTGTTAGTTTCTGGTAGGAAGGGGTGGTAGAAGTAGTCCCATTGAGGGTAGGAATGCTGGAGGCAGAGCTAACGTATTTTCATTGATAGTGGTGGTGGAGGGAAAATGTAAAGTAGTATTGTAGGATGAGACCACCTACTTAGGAGGAAAAAGATTTGCATTCTTTAGGTTCTGAATAACAAGTTCATCAGGGAACTTAGAATCTGTTCAGTTTTATTAAATGGTTGAGGATCATGATGTGTACTCATATATTGATTGATAATAATATAATGGAACTTTAAGATGCATTTTTAACTTCAAACTTTTCTGCCTGCCCCCACCCTCACCCCCAGTTTTTCGAGGCAGGGTTTCTCTGTGTAGACCAGGCTGGCCTTGAATCCACCTACCTCTGCCTCCCAAGTTCCAGGGTTAAAGGTATGAGCCACCATGCCTGGCTAGCATACATTTACTTCTTATTACCTTCTACATTGATAGACATTGTATATTTCTAGGTGTTTTTTTTTTTTTTTTTTTTGAGCTAATCAGAGCTCTTATTTTCTAGGTCTTTTAATTCTGCACCACTTCTCTAAGTTTTCTGTTCTGTTTCTTTGTTCCTTTCCATAATCTACTGGATATCTGATATGGCTTTGCAGTATCTTCCCCTGAACATCTATGTTTGTGCTGAGAATGAGTTCAAGAAAATTAAAGATACACATTATGTTGATGCTAATATATATTTGGCTCATTTGTTTTCTTTTCTTGGAGAATGGCTGATATAACTGTTTTGCTCACCTATGTGGCATTCTACACTGTAAAGCATCTTATTACTTCAGAGTTATTTTCCAACTTGTGTTTAAAAAAAAGGTTACATTTTATGTTAAAGAGTTTATAATCTAAACTTCCCAATTAAATCCACTTTGATGTATCACTTTATGGTTTCCTCTTGATTTGTCATCTTTTCCCACTTGTCAAACTTTGGTCTCACTTTTTGAATCTTTATCAGAATGTGACTTGAGTGACCTAGTTAAATGGAATATTTTTATCATCACTATTGAGTTTTTGGCTTTGATTTTCTATTCCAGGATATTTTTTCTTTTTGTTGTTTTCCAAACAAGATTTTACTATTTATTACTAGCTGACCTTGAACTCACTATTTATTGTCCAGGCTGACGTTGAACTCACAGCAGTGCTCTTGCCTTAGTCTTCTGAGTGCTAGGATTGGAGGCATGCCCTCCCACACACTCAGCTAGTGCTGATGTGATTTCATGTCCAGTAATATATCTTTATTTTGAAACCATATTAAAGATCACCTGTGATTCTTATAAAGACTAGTTCTGTTGCTGGGGTTGTAGCTCAGTTAGTAGAGAATGTAGGGAAGCCCTGTGTTCAGATCCAGAATTGGAGATGGAGACAGGAGGAGAGAAGTTAAAGACTGTCCTCTGCTGGATGTTGAAGTTGAGGCCAAACTGGGCTACAGGAAATCTTGTCTCAAGTGTACACACACACACACACACACACACACACACACACACACACACACACACACGACTACTTGTGTATACCAAGTAGAAGTTACTTTTTTTTTAAGCTGCCATGGCTCTTTCTGATAATCTGACAATTAGATTTCTGCTCATGCTCAGGTGATGTAAAATGTGCAGTTCAGCTTGTCTTGCTTTTGCTCACGAGACAGTTTCTTCCTTCAGATCAGTATGAGTTATTACTTGGTCTGGACTTCGTTTCCTATTGTGTGCTGTCATCTGAATTTTTACTTTCCATTAAATAACTGGATTAGTTTTCTTATTAGAGTCTTAGTTTTTTAATGCTTTCTTTAGCTTTTTATATACTTTTGCAATTTTTCTTTCTTATTGTTAATAATGACCCATTCCTTACTTTCAGCACCTTTGACTTTCATGGCATTGTGTGTTGGATTATAGAAATACCTTGGAGAGTTTTGTTTTCGGTATTACTGAAAAATTAACATTCTTCATCAAATTGCCTTTCCATGACCTTTGCAGCAAAGAATACTTAAACAGCACCCGCTTTTCTCCCATATTGTTGTTTGTTTGTTTGACTTTTGATTTTCTTCCAGACATGGTCATTCTGTGAACTGGAGATCCTCCTGCCTCAGCTTCCTGAGGCCGGGGATTACTGACGTGTGGCACCACCCCCAGACATTCCCATACTCATCTGAAGCAGTACTTTTGTAGCCGCTGAAACAGTATAAAGAGTTGTTTCCACTTTCAATTAAGATTTCACCTGGGTTTATGTCCCATGTTCTTTGACTTACATATCTTTTAGTTAACCGGTTGTTAGGCTAGCAATCTTCCCCTAAAGGACAGACAGAGCTACCAGATTTTACACCGGCTTTTATAAGTAACTCACAAAGAAATAACTGTAGTTGAATGTCCAGTACAGAGGAGGTCCAGGTCCAGCCCACGGAGTCCAGAGTTGCTAGACTTAGAAGCGTGGTATAGCAGGCAACATGTCTACTAGCATCCTCTTCTGTTTCCCTCTGTCCATGCCCTGGGCTCAGGAAAACACTACTGGTTTTAGAGTGTTACCCGTAGCTTTGTCTGGTTGTAAGTTTTAGGCTCAGGTGTATAAAATTGAAAGATTTTACAGTTTTAACTCTCTCTCTTTTGGTTAAAGTAGTTCAAAATGTCAAAAATTAGGAGGAAGGTCACAGTGGAAAACACCAAGACCATATCTGAGAGTACATCCAGAAGACCTAGTGTGTTTGAGAGGCTTGGACCCAGTACTGGCAGCACAGCAGAGGTGAGTTGTCACTACTGTGGATATAGGGAGCTTATTAGAGGGGACTAGGAGTGTGACTCAGTGGCAGAGCCCTTACCTAGCCTGTATGAAGGGGCACCACCCTCAATCCTGTGCCCTGGGGGAGACATTTAAAATACTATTATTGAAGTACTAATTGCTATTATAAAGGAAAATGGGTTGTTTTGTCATGGGGTTGATTTAGCAAATTTTACTCTAGGAAAGAAATGAAAGAGGGGTTATGGTTTGTAAATTTCTCATTGTTTTATAAGGGTTTTATTTGTTCTATATATACAATGTATTTTAATCCTATCCATGCCCCATTCCAGTAACACCCCCACCCCACACACATACCCTCTTGTGGTTTATCTTTCCTTATGGTATTATTATTGGAGGAGCATGTGCTTAGCTGGCATTTGGGTCGCTCTGACTTGATTTTGCCCTAGTAGCATCTTTTCCTCAGACATTCATGTAGTAATATCTGCCTCCTAGACCCAGTGCCGGAACTGGCTGAAGACGGGCAGCTGCCTCTATGGAAACACATGTAGGTTCGTCCATGGCCCTTCACCTCGTGGGAAAGGTTACAGCAGCAATTACAGAAGGTAAACTGAGAACGGAAGCATTTGCTATAGTGTTAAAAACCAACTTTAGCAATTTAGTGTAAAAACCTGAAATTGAACCGTATATTTGGTCAGATTTCCTGTTTTGGGGTAGTCTTGACAGTCATAAATTAGCCAGATCTTTTGGTTGTTACTTTTGAGATTAATAAAATGTTAGCTTTAAAATGTACATGTTTGTATGTCTTGATAATAGATCCTTTTCCAATGTGTTTATTCAAATCAGTGCACACCTGTAAGGAGACTGAGTCTGGGGACAAACACCCCTAAAACGCCCCCTACCTCATACTGCCCCAAGTTTGTATTAAATCTCCGCTTAAGCAGAACTCAGAGGTGTGAGAATTTATTTTTAGTAAAGTTAGACTAGTCATTCTTAACAGAGTAAAATTTAAATAAGATTTAGTTGTAATTTTCCAAAGGCCTTTTAAATTTATATCTTTTTTCTTCTTTTGGTTTTTCGAGACAGGGTTCCTCTGTGTAGTGCCTGTCCTGGATGTCACTCTGTAGACCAGGCTGGCCTTGCACAGAGATCCGCCTGGCTCTGCCTCCCGAGTGCTGGGATTAAAGGCGTGCACCAACACTGCCCAGCTTAAATTTGTGTCTTCTACAAGCTTTGTTGTAAAATCTGCTTGCCAAACCTCTTAGGGCACTGTGTTAATATAAATGTCTTTAGGGCTGGAGCGGTATAGGTCAGTGGTTAAGAGCCTTGACTGCTCTTCTAGAAGACCTGAGTTTACTTTCCATCACCCACATGGTGGCAAACAGCCGTCTGTAGCTCCAGTCCCAGGGGATCCAATATCCTTTCCTAGACTCAGACACCAGGTACGCACATGGTGCACAGACATACATGCAGACATAACACCCATACACATAAAGCAAACAAATAATTTTAAGTGTGTTTATATATAGATAAACATTTTCTTTGCAGAACATCATTTTGCCTTTGATAGAAACTTGACTAAACTAAATTTGCATAACGAAGATCTTTTTAGTGTTCCTTTTGTCCCCTTATGATGATTTTGTAATATTTTTTAAATGTAACAGATGCAATGTTTCTTACAGAAATTATTTAATCGGTAACTAGATTTATATAGTCCTGAAATTGTGCGTGCTGATTGCTTTGCCTGCAGGATTAGTAGGAAAACTTAAAGTTAGTCATTGGAGATTTTTTTAAGAGAGACAGACAGAGAGAGAGAGAGACAGAGAGAGAGAGACAGAGAGAGAGAGACAGAGAGAGAGAGACAGAGAGAGAGAGACAGAGAGAGCGAGCGCACCACATTTGAATGTGAAGGTCAAAGGACAGCTTTTGGGAGTCTGTTCTCTCCTCCAGGCCTGATGACAATCACGTTTACCCATTGAGCCTTCTTGATGACTGTTGGCTTTCATTTTTAAGATGCAGGAAATATTTTCTTAGTTGATAGTATGTCCAACTACATACATACATAGAGGGAATTAATCCCTCTGGAATAACTTCGCTTCTTTATAACTTAACCTTTCTCTTATTGCCCTTCATCTACAATATGACTGCTATATTTGTGTGGTGAACAGAAAGTAACTCAAGCTGCTATTTGCATATTCATTTTCTTCAGTTCATTGTTTCTCGTATTATCAGTATTTACAACCCCATGGAAGTTAACATGCATTTTGATTGGCATTGGGAGAAAACTTGTGAATATTGTTCATATTTTTATATAGTACTACTTAAGCTGAAACATTTTTCAGAAGTTTAGCCACCAAAGACAGAAAATTGCATCAGTATTTATGAAGTTATTTATTTATATTATTCTTATAAAATGTCATATAAATACAGAATTTTGTTGTTTTATATCAAAGGTCACCGGAAAGACCTACAGGTGACCTCAGAGAAAGAATGAAGAACAAGCGTCAGGATGTGGACACTGAATCCCAGAAACGGAACACAGAGGAGTCATCCTCACCTGTTAGGGTAGGCTAATTTACGACTCACCTAAATTTCAGTAGTCATTTAGTCCATGATTTCCATTTTAAATAGGAAGTGGTGTGCTAAACACATGGTAAAGCCATGACTAGACATTACAATGTCCTGTGTGAACACATGTAAGTTTGTTTGGTTTGTTTTGTTACTTTTTTTCAAGACAGGGTTTCTCTGTGTAGCACTGGCTATCCTGGAACTTGCTCTGTAGACCAGGCTGGCCTCGGAATAAACATAATTTAAGGGGCAGGGAAAACAGTCCGTTCTTCTGTGTATTTAAAATGAAAGGGATCTACCAGCAGAGCTCAGGCTGCACTTAGAAGGTTTTGTACCTCCCAGAACTCAGGAGTGCCTAAATGCAGTGTACAGTTTCAGAGTTCAAGGAGCTGCTGTAGTTCTCAAGGACATTTACAGTTGTGTGGCTAGCCCTGTGGTCACTTTTCATCCCTCTGCAAAGAAACGCCACGTTTTCTAGCAATCACCCCTGTTGTCCCACTGACTGTGAGCCCTAGGCAGTCATGAAATCACTTCTTGTTTTATGAATTGTTCACTCTCTGTGCTTATATAATGTGTCATCTCTTGTGACTAATTTCCTTTACCCAGTTTTTAACATTTATGGAAAATTATAAGATGCATTACTCTTGTCTGTTTTTTCAAAGAATATTCCATTGTATTAGAATTCCTTATTTTGTTCATTCACTTCTCTTTGATGACTGTTTGGGCTCTTTTCACCACCCTCCCTATATTGTGAATGAGAACATTCATGTACAAGGTTTTGGTTAGCATATGAGTTCATTTGTCTTGGTTTAATCCTGGAGAGCAGAACTGGTGAATCCGCGGTCTCTTCGTTACTCTCCCGCTGCCGTGACAGAATATCTGAGGGAAACAACCTAAGGAAGGGATTCTTCTGGCTCAGTTTGAGGGCCAGTGTGCACATGGCATGGCTGTGTGGAAGCAGGAGCACAGGCCATTTGCATCCACAGCCAGCAAGTGGAGAGCAGTGAGTGCTGTGCTCAGCCCCCTTTCTTCAGTAGGATGGAGTTCCCCACTTCAACCAACCAGCTTAGGAACTCCCTCACAGAAAGCCCTGAGATCGCGTCACCGTGGGAGTCAGTATTAGCACGCAGTGTGAATGCTGCTTTCTCTTTGGAGGGTTTGCTAAAGCAGTGCTTCTCAGCCTTCCTAATGCTGCGGTCATTTAATACATGCTGTGGTGACCCCAACCACAAAATTATTTTTGTTGCTACTTCATAACTGTAGTGTTGCGAGTTGTAATGTAAATGTCTGGTCAGCACACACATTGAGAACCGCTACGCTAGACCGTCGTTTAGAGGTTGCATCGTTTTTACTTCTAGACAGTAGGATATGAAAGTTCCAGTTTCCTCATATTTTTTTCCAGCTCCTAATCTCCCTAATAACTAAGGATGCCAAGCATTGTGTGCATACTCACTGGCTGTTGGTGCATATTTGGAGATACTCTGCCCATTTTTAAAATTGAGCTATCTTTATTGAGTTGTAAGAGTTCTTTATATTTTAAGTACAGGTAAAATATATTCTTTGAAGGTTTCAAGTTTTCCATTTTTTTCTAGTTAGTAATAATGTGAAATAATTGTGTATTTATATATCATAAAATTTCTAAGCTGGGCAGTGGTGGCACACACCTTTAATTCCAGCACTTGGGAGGCAGAGCCAGGCGGATCTTTGTGAGTTCGAGGCCAGCCTGGTCTACAGAGCGAGATCCAGGACAGGTACCAAAACTACACAGAGAAACCTTGTCTCAAAAAACTTAAAAAAAAAAAAAAAAAAGAAAAAGAAAAAAATTCTAGGATGAATTGTTTTGCTTTACCAGTGTTTAATACAAATCTGGGTAATTTCCTTTTAAGTTAAAAATAGCAAAAAATAAAATCACTGTTCTAAAATTTGTTTTTATTCCTTTAACTATTTTTACTCTGAAATAAGTTAAAATTTAAGAAAATTTATCAGAATTAGTGTGGTGGTATTTTACTTGTACTAAAATATAATTTTAATTGTATGTTAATAAATAAAGTTGCCTGGGGCTCAAAGCTATTAAAGCTAAACAAGTGCGTGGCGGCGGTGGCGCACGCCTTTAAAAACCTGGAGGGCGGTACATACAGGCAGTAACAAGGCAGTCACGTGTTTGGGTTTACAACCAATGAGAAGGCAAAACAGCTAAACTATATAAAAAACATACACACAAAAAGTAAATCCCTTTCAAAAAGCTCTCTTGGCTAAAGCAAATCGCTAAAGCAGGAAGGGTGAGGCTCTTAGCTCTGACTTCTTGGCTTTCTTATCTAAATTGGCTCTGTATTTCTTATTTAATAACACAGTTGGTTACATCTACAAATTAGCATTCAGTTCCTGTTTGTTTTCATTTTTAAGGTGCCTAAAACAAATTTTCTACCATTCTGTGCATTGTTACTTTTTTTTTTTAAATTTTCTAAGTTGGGGCAGTGTCTTACTGTGTCACCTGGCCTGCAATAAATACACCAGGCTCCTGGGCTCACGTGATCTTCTTGCCTCAGCCTCTCCAGGAACTGGTACTACATAGGCTCTCAGCGTCAGGTCAGACACAGCTCTCATGTGGGGGGGGTGTGTGTGTGCGCGCGCGCGCGTGCATGTGCGTGTGTGCGTGTAAGTGTACATAGCTGTGCACTTGCCCATATGGGCATATGTGAAAGCCAGAGATTGAGACTGGATTCTTTCTTTGCCATTCTCCACTTTATTTAAAAAACAAACAAAAAAACCTTTTAAAAATCGTTTAAGACTTCCACACATGTATATAGTATGTTTAAAACCAGTCTCCACCAGTTCCTCTCCTGTGTCTACCCTACCTTCCACATAACCTTTTCTTCTCGACTTCACGTGTTCTTTTTCTAACCCCACCAAGCCCACTTAGTGCTGCATGGCATTTCAACGCCCTATTTTTGAGACAGGGTCTCTCACTGAACCCAGAGCTCACCATTTGAGCTTGACTGGCTGGCCACTGAGCCCCTGGGATCCACCTGTCTCTGGTCTCCAGTCCTGGGTTACAAATGTGCCACCATGCCCAGTATTTACATGGGTACTACAGATCAGAACTCATGTCTTTAGGCTTGCCCACCAAGCACTGTATGAGCCATCTCCCTAGCCCCTTGTCTTCAAGTTCTTGATCGTGTTCTTTAAAACTCAAAAGGTTTTGATTTTATGGAATTCAGCTTACCTGTTTATTTGTTTGTTTAATTTAATGTTGCTTACTCTTTGTCATTTGAGAAACTTTCATTATACAGGATCATAAAGATTTATGACTGTTTCATATATTTCACATAGAATATAAAATAATACCAAGAGTAAAATGTCCTAAAATATTAAAGAAGTGAGTTCTGAACCTTCTCCTGTGTGTGTGTGTGTGTGTGTGTGTGTGTGTGTGTGTGTGTCTGTGTGTGTGTGTGTGTGTGTCTGTGTGTGTGTGTGTGCACATCTGATTCCTTAAAACATAAGTCAGCTTTTCTGAGTTCACATGACATGTGTTGAGTAGATGAACTGTAATTAGTTAATATAAGGGACAGGCACAAGGATTTACAATGTGAATGCAGTACCTCTAGGTATTGTTAGCTAAACTCTGCTATCAGTTTCCTCATCTATAAATTAGGAACTGGCTTTGTTGGTATGTTATGATGATGGGTAGGATTGGCCATTTTATGCTGACTCTTAATAATATAATAATATAATGGTTAAAATGGCTTTTCTGTTCTCTAAATTGACTTTAGTCTCTTAGCAGAAATTGGATGTGAGCATTAATTTAGGTTGTTAATACACACACATAAATATATTATATATATATAAATATAAATATATATAGTTATAAAGGCTTATATGTTTAGATCACATTAGTAGACAGCAAAGTTGACTATTAAGAAATTTAAAGTCTAGGGTTAGAGAGATGGCTCAGCAGTTAAGAGCACTGGCTGCTCTTCCAGAGGACCTGAGTACAATTCCTAGTACCCACATGATGCTCACTACTGCCTGTAACTGCTGTCTCAAGGGATTAGATTCCTCTTGTAGCCTGTGAAAGCACCAGGCATGCAAGTGATGTACAGACATACATCCAGGCAAAACATTTACGCACATGAAGTGAGTAAACCTTAAGAGAAAAGCAAGTAAAGCTTGATTCTTGCTTTCATCTCTGATGTATTCAGCAGCATGTGATGCTGATCTTCATGTAGTGGCTTCCTGTCAGAGGTCAGATTGATTTTAAGGAAGGGCAGCATCATATAGAAAACAAAGGCAGAGCTGAGATAAGCGTGTGATTTTTCAGGGAGTTAACAGATTTACTCCTCCTTTGTCACTGATATTTACTCCAGTATGTCTAAATTATAAGGTTGCTGGATTACCCTTGATTTTGTGGAGAGGCAACTTCATAAATAAACCAATTGTAATTCCTTTTTTTTTTCTTCTTCTTCTTTTCTTTTGGTTTTTCGACACAGGGTTTCTCTGTGTAGTTTTGGTGCCTGTCCTGGATCTCACTCTGTAGACTAGGCTGGACTTGAACTCACAGAGATCCGCCTGGCTCTGCCTCCCGAGTGCTGGGATTAAAGGCGTGCGCCATCACCGCGCGGCCCAATTGTTATTCCATAGTGTGTGAGATGGAAGCAAAGTGCACAGTGGGCAAAGTAAACAACTCCCTGCAGACCCCGAGAACCACAGGGAAGGAGAGGTTTGTGGGTGAGCAGACGAAAGGGGTGGGGGGAGTGATGCAGTTAACTATGGAGATTTTCAAAGGACTACTACCATGCTTGAGGAGCTGAGATGCTGGTGCTTGTGTCCTGCTGTCGCATTGGAATGAAGTTGAGTGCTAAGTAGGTACTGGTCAGTTCCCTTAAACAGAAGTGGTTCTCATGTACAGCCTCAGTTGGGAAACCTTGGTGGCCTTGTCTCAATTGAAGTGTGCTGTAAGTATAAAATATGTACTGAGTTTCAGATACTTGGTATGAAAA